TATCTGCTCATTTAATTATTTAGTGAACGGCTCCAACCGAGCTGGACTCCTTGGTTGTGGGTCATCATTCCCATTGGGTTTGTGTTGCCTTAATAAACAGGCTGTGCAAGTGCTCCATGACGCGGAATGGACTCAGACATGACCCAGAGACGTCGGAGTATGTTGATATACCCTGAGACGCAACATTTGATCACAAAACCCGCAAAGACATGATTTATAGTCATATCAAAATAAGTAGTGATAGGACATACCATTGGTATCTGGTGTATCCACTTTCGCAATGTCAGACAGCATGCACCGTGAGGTTGTTAGCACTTCAGCGTATTTTGTGTTTTAAATTAATTGCTTGGTGTCGAGTTTTGTTTTGGTAAGAAATAAATATCCTCTCCTCAATATGAGTGTGTGCAGGATTACTATGTTGCTGAATGTTTACTATGTTCTTATCTGGTGGGCAGATGCTCTCAGGTAAAAGGGCCGCTCGGGTTCACAATTAATATCATCTCCTTCACTGTTTGAGTCCCATTCCACCGATTGTAGTCTTTATGGAACTTGAAAAACTGTATATCAAGCTCTGATTATTTGGTCAAATTTGACATGCTTTTGTGACTGAGGGTGACTTGTAGTGAGACCACATCTGGGTGGTGCTTTGGCTCATATTTTTAGACGGGTCTTTGTAATCACCCCATAGCTGTGACTGTTTGTGAATCATCTTCCTCCAGCCCAGCGGCCAGCGTGTCTCTGGAACAGGAATGATAAATACATAGGACCAGAATGTGCGTATGCCATTATGGGGCAAACCTCAGGTTGGGCAGCATTTCCGTTGCAGTCCACATTTGTACTCTGTGCTCCAGACAAAAGGATTGATTGATCTGCTATGGACCCTTAAATCCAAAACGGCACAGTACACAAGCATAAATAAGCATTCACGTTGTTAATAAAGAAACATCGAGCTCAACAGAGCAATTACACTGCGCTAATTAACGTTAACAGTTCAATAGTTATATTGTGTAATAAATGTGTTTTGCATGTCCGTGTAAATCATCCCCCACCCTCTTTGCATCAAAGGACCAATACAGACACAGAACTGTGCATTGTTACAGAAGAAACACTGACTCTCCAGTCTCAGCATGGAAATAACAATCCTTTGATTTCTTTGGTCCTTTTTGTGTGCGTCACCAACCCTGCTCTCCTTTTTATTCTGAGAAATTTACAGTAAAATAAGATGTGTATATGTGTGCCTGCAAGCTGCGCTCTTGAGACAAGAAGGGCCCGTATGATGTAATTGTCCAAATAAGGGGCAGCGGGGGTGGAGAGGGCTCTTCCTCTCTATGATGTCATGTCACTGCAGCAGTTTCTAGGTGATAAGGAATAAAGTGTGACTTCACATCCACAAATGTGGATTGACGCCTCTTATCTTTGCCCTGGAAGGGTGAGAACAACACAAACACGGAGTAGATAAGCTTGCCTCTTCTGTTACAGTAGCTGTGTGTGATGCACACAGTGAAGCACACAGTGATGCTCTGGTTATCTTTGACATCATGGTAGCATTCTGATTGCTCACATACCGCATGTTGTTTTTCATGTCTGAAGCCTGAATTTCATGACCTATCCCTGAGTAAACACTGACTTTACCCCCCCCCCCCCACCCCCCCCCCCACCACCCTCCTGTTTCCCTCATTGATCGGCCTGGACAATTTATTAGCCATTGTGACAGTTTCCGCCAGGCCAGGGTCGACAGGGGAAATGGAGAGGTATGCAGATAAAGTGTTCAGAAACATGCTGCACAATACCTATTGTGTTTTAATTGCAGGTTGTACGGTTACCTCTCGAATGTTTTCCACATGCCTTTCAGTGTGCGTGTGTCCTCGCTTGTTATTCTACATAGACGTCCCGCTGCCCAATCTATTCCCCTAGCATACTGAGTAATCATGACTTCTGGAAAATGACACCCGTAGGGCTGAAATGCTCGAAAACAAAAGGAAATACCAGCGAATTCCACAATAAAGCACTGAAACCTTTAACAATGGCCTGTCGACCTTGAACTACAGGTTTCCTTCATCTGCAAATGCCAAGTTCAGTCTGCAGTTTCAACACTTACGATTCAACAATAGGAAATATTTGATACTTGGCTGGAAAAATGACATTTATCAGCAAACAATTTGCCAAGTATTCATGAAAGGGCCCTAGAGAAGATCTCGAACGCAACCCAAACAAATGAACTTTCCCGGTTTCTGTGAAAATAGTGGGGAGATTAGCAAGTGGCCAAATACTTAGTACCATTTTATATAAATGTGGAACGTTAGTCTACCAAGAACAACATGTGTAATAGGGGACAGCCATAGAAGGTGCTGGCTGGTGACTCTCATCGCTCACAGAGAGCAAAGACGTGACTTTAAAGCCTTCAGTCAGTTGTATATATAGTCACCCGGTTCATTCTCTACACCGGCCATCAGTTAACATGACAAACCACATACGCATTGGGCCGAAAGTCCCCAGTTGACATGTTCACTGGTTAAACTGACATTTGACATGACGTAGACATGTGGCAACAGCATAAAGAGTTCAGAAATTGAGTGACAGGTGGCTGTCATACCTGAAAATATGTCCTGTTTGTCTAGTCCATGCTGGTCTTGTACAAGATCAGCCAGAGTTACGATGATGGATGTCAGCACCTATCATCTTCCACAAACTCAGAGGAGGTCACGGACGAACGCTCACAGATTTGGGTTCAAAGAATACCGTCAGAAAATACCAGTGTCAGATCAAGACACTCATGTGGTTGATCGAACATTGCAACGCATCGAACGGAAAACTGTTTAAGACATCCGAGACAGTTTTATTTATGAGGAAATCCTCTGACATAGAGAAGAGAAAGAGAAATGGTTAATGAGTGTTGCAGAGCTCATGTTGGCGCAAAAGTCCAAACCTTGTACTTGAGTTACATTCCTGTCACTGTGACACCTGACAACTAGACAATTCGAAAAGTGATTGAAAAGCAGTAGTATGCGAGGCAATGTAGGGACTAACATCAGTGAAACCTAGTCCCTCAATGAATATGAGGTGGTGTTAAGATATATTTTGGGCAGAAATAATATATTATAAATGCGCATAGGCTACAGGAGTGGCAATGCTGATTTTGATCTCGTCAACTTACTTGCTTCGGTTGGGTTAGGTTTATTTGAACATTGATTTGAGTAGGGCTACATCAAGTAGATAGACTAGTATTCATCAAGGCATTCTATGGTGACCATGGCGTTACACTCTTTCTGATATTATGATTGGTTTCAGCCATGCGTGTTTGTGTACTTGAATCCGTAGCACGCTTTACAGCAGTGCAGCTTTGCCATCTAGTGGACACACTCAGAAGAAACTGAAGACACGGAAAATACAGCATTTATTTACATATTTCTTATTTAACAGAAAACACATTTATATTGTATTTCCAAAGATTATTCTTTATTAGTCCAGCGAGCAGAGAATCTTCAACTCCATTATGTGCATGTGTTGTGATCCAGCCTGAGGCCCCTCTGGTTCTCATTAAGCGTGCAGCTGCATGCTGACTCGGACATTCAGAGATGGAGAGGTCACTCTGATGATCCTCCACATGGATACATGATTCGTGCTATATATCATATATATCTACGTGCTATAGGTATGATGGAAGAGTCTGAGTTGGAGCTCAAGGCAGCGAAACTGAACGTGGTTGTCAGCATAATTCAGGTGAAAAACAAGTGAATGATATTCATAAATACTGAACGCAGCCCTTTTAAAATTCTGGTGTCAGCAAAACAATGGTCCTGATTCCGGGGAAGAACTGAGCACCGTGGCTCTCCCACACGGTTGGCACATGTAGAAGTTTCTATGTGTATGGATTTGACAACATCTACCGATCTACAGACAATTCATTTGATTATATTGTATATTTAACTTTTACTGTAATTTACGTATTCATCATGCTGTCAGGATCCCACCAGCTTCACTCACTCCTCCCACTCGTTCACAGTCCCCTGAATTCTAATCACCATCACCTGCACCTCATCAGTTCACCTCCCTTTATATTTGACTCCTCTTCACACACTCTCTGATGTGTCAGTGTCTGGTCTCGTCTCTACAGGACACCACAGACTCTCACGCTACGTACCTGAATCCCTACCGGCTGCGCCAAGAGAATCTCCTCCAGTCCGTAACCTGGAACTCGGAGTACCCTCCAGTTAAAGTTCCATCCTGATCATCTGTATTCATCATATCTTCGTCTGGTTCCGCTATCTTGTCAATAAACTATTGTACTTACCTCACGGCCGTCTCCTGTCCCCCATTTGTGACACATGCCTTTACTGTTTGATTGTTTATTTTAGTACTTCTTTCCCTTATTTTTTCCTTTATTTTATTCATATTTTCTACTTCTGTCTCTTGTGCTGCAATCCTGCAAAATTTCCAGCCGTTTGACTAATAAAGGATTATCTTATCTCATGTTCCTTTACTTTTCTGATGATGGATGCTTATTGCCTTTTGGAGGAGTCTGGGGTGGAATGTGTTCAGTAAAAAGGTCTTCTGCAAAATAGTTTGAAGCCAAGTGAAAACATCTCTTCATGAAAACACACACCAGTCAATTTTGAAGGCAAGGCAATTTTATTTGTTCATTTGTATTGTATTTCAACAAGGCAATTCAAAGTGCCTTACATAAAACCATTAAAAACATAAAGTAAGGAGATTTACAAACAGTTGATTGATTACAGAACATTGATTGAAACATAAAAGAGAAACAGTCCTTATGAAAGACGTTAACAATAGAATACAATTTGCAGTGTAATTTAAGAATGTCTTAAAGAATTAAATGCAGCAGCAAATAGAAAAGTCTTTAATTGGGAGTTAAAGGGGCTGAGGAACCCAGACAGAGAGGGAGGGACGGACGGACGGGTGATGTACAGAGGGAAAGAAAGAGATGGACAGAAAGAAGAAAGGGAGAGAGTTCTCCCGAGCTGGAAGGAGGGAACTGCACATTAACAGTTTCACATACAAATTTATTTTAAAAAAATGAAAAACAACCGTTCCATCAAAATTGAGGCACACAGGCTACATTCACACTACTGCGTTTCCGGTTTGAAACTGTGTGTCACTAAATTTCAGAGTAGCGCCAAGTCTGCTCTGACGTAGACTCTGATGTTTATGATAATGCTTAAATGATTATTATAAGTATTAAAAGGCTTTTATTGTTCTTCACAACTATTCTGGAGTTCACAAATACATTTTAAATAAACCAAATGACTTTCAGCAACACGGCTAATATGAAATACAACAACAAAATCCGGGGCAAACGAGTGACAACTGTGTGTGGACCAATTTATTGACCCCAAAACTGTCAATACTATTAATCTATTACTTTTATTGGTATGTGTTCATTTTAAAGTAAATTTGATGTGTGTGAACGACAAGAACATCTAGACCTGCAGCCCCGTAACTCATTTTTTTCCCATGGAATTTGCCCGTTAAAGTATATCCTGTGTGATAATAATCACGTGATATTCATTTTCAGGCATGCTGGCATGAACTCATTCAAAAAACGCTGAGTTAACAGAGCTTTTTGTTAGTGAAACCGCCTGTCCTAAACAAATATGTATCAGGATGTAGCCTATGATCGAAGTGCTTTATTTAGGCAATTTTAAAGCCCTTGTTGTGACTTGATTGCATCAGCAGAAGACACAATTAAATTGAGGGTAAACAGACAGCATTATAAAAAGCAGCTTCTCCTCTTGCATCTGTCATCAGTGTGGGTTGTAAAATAATAATAAGGGATCTTGTCCAAAAGTTGTTACCTTAACTTTAAATGTTTACAGTTTTGTCCCCGTTGCTCAGTTCTATTGGGGGCTCGGATGTAGCATCCTGCTGTGTTTGGGAAGGTCCTGAAAACACACGCGCAAACATTTTTAAACATTTGAAGGTAAAGGATAGAGCACATTTTTGAATTTCAAGGAAACTAAGTGACCAAGTGTAGTAGACCAGTTGGTCTGGGATCAGCCCACGTTAGGGATCCCACCGACATGCAAGGCTTCAGAAAACTTCTTTGACGGGCCACATAGCAAAATAGCGTTTTCCTCAACCGATCATATGTGATTAACTTACTTAAAATAGATAAATCACTCGTTCACTCGCTCAGACACTGTGGGCTGTGTCTATCTCTGTTTCTGAGTTAAGAGAAGTGTGCCAGTGCCAGAGTGTGGGGCATGTGTGTAGATGAATAAAATGTGGTCCTAATGGCATCAGGAGGAGTGCTGTTCTGTTTTAAGTACCCTGAATAGAAGGGTATTGTTCAGCATGTGTCTCAGTGACATTAACAAATGGTGAGGACTCAATCATGTGACTGTGTGTCATCCCTACAGAACATCTGCACAAAAATGAAATTGAAGCATTGAGTTGACTTTTAGCAAGTAACCAAAGCTGAAAAGCATTGAACCGTATCACCATTTATAGAGAATAAAAGGGCAATAATTATACATTTACAGTACCTTCAACCAACAGTGCAGCTTCCTTCCTGTCTTCAGTAATGTAAACGGAAGTCAGGAGGAAAAACAATCCACCCAGGATCCCGACAAATGGGCAGACCAGGAGGCTGTACTTCAGACTATGGAAGCTCCAACCCTGATTCTCAGGTTTAGAGTTGCGTACAGCATCAGAGATCTATTGGCAAAGAGGGGAAGAAAGCTTTATGATACACAGAAAATATGGTTCACTCAAAACACAGTCAAAAGGAACTGTGGGAAAATTGAACAATTTCTCACCACTCCTACTAAGTAAGGACTCCCAGCATCACCCAGGAGATGACAGACTGAAATCTGGAGAGCCTCAGCAGTAGACCTTCTGGTTGGTACGATAACATACTGAAGTAAAAAATTGCATAGTTACCTTCAAGTTTCAGCGGTGAGTTTCGTATTTGAATTTTTAGATTAAAGTTCAAACTCACCAGCAGTATGTCAGCCATGACAGCCCAGTTCAGCGATATCAAAAGTTCACCAATGAAAATGAACACCTGAAATGCGACATTGAAGACGCAGAACAAAGGATTCATTAAATGATAACATGTCTCCTGTTGCAAAAACATTTTTTGTCCAGATAAATAGCTGCAGTGTTACTTTAACTAAACTATTTTAGATTTCTTGTGAAGAATGTTATAAACATTGTGTCTGGTTCAACAAGACAATATGGTCTGAGGAACTAAAGGGAGTTATTCCCTTTGAAGTTGATATTAAGTTAAGATATGACATTAACAACACAATTGTTGGCCTGACAGCTATTCATCCATTCATTGATTTGGGTGGGAGCCATTCACAGCATTCACAGAGAACTATAACCTCAGAAGAACACATTTGGGGATCACCAAAGTTTGAGTGGGGCATGAGTGTGTGTACCAAATTTCATTGCAATCCACCTGATAGTTTTCTAGACATTAATTTTTTAAAAATCTACGTGATAGTCGTTGTGGTATTTCTGGAGTCAATCTTTGGAGCCATGAATAAAATAAATCATTCCAGACGTCTGTCACTTACATAAGTTGTGGGAATGCTTGCAGATGCCACAAAGATGGCAATAAAGAGGCAGGGCGCCGCTCCTAGCAGGCCTACTGCGCAGATCAGAGGGTCCACATTTGGGACCTTTTCACCAAACCATCGAGATAAACCACTGCCAAGACAAGCTCCCAGAATGCCCGTCACCACCGTCACAGCACCGAAGATGTAACTGTCCCGGGAGCAGACAGCACTGTTAAAACGTGCAATTTGGATGGAAATGAAAAGTGGTGTGGTTCAAAGGTCATACTACACCTGTCTGTGGAGTCGCATGGCTCTACGACGCACGGTGTTTGGAGTCCCAGATTGACCCGCGCTCTGGACAGAAAAGCTGGTGTCCAGAAACCCAGGGCTCCGGTGACGAAGGCCGTAGCCGTCACCCCTAACGATGACCACACGTAACTCTTACTAAGGTCAGAGGAACAAAAGAAGGAGAGTAGTTAATAAGGTTTATAGCCAATAAACCTAAATGTTTTAAAAGGGTTTTATGCAAAAGCTATCAGGTAGTGTTTTACACTCTTAATCAATACATTTATTGGCTCTAAAAATCCACTATGAGTCAGGCTACAGTATTGATCCAGTATTGCTTTCCATGTCCTACTTTTTCAGAAGATACTTGACGTCTTCCTGGTAAGAGCTCTCCACTTTAACTCCCTCTCCGTGGGTTTCTGCAGCACCTCTGGGTGGGTTAGGGCATAAGAAGACCAGCAAGACAAGTCCCACTACACCCAAGATGGGGGTGATCTGATGACACAAAACATTTTGTAATATTAATCAGCGTTTAGCTGAGATTTGCATAACGGTTAATGAAAGGTTTCTCACCCTGAGAGCCCAGTGCCAGTCTCCTGTTATAGCAGCAACTCCTGCCCCTGTTATGTATCCAAGACCACTGGAAATACACAGAATGGTCATTGCAGTGATCACGAGGACATGAACCAGTCTAAGAATAGAGTACAATCCTGTGGAATTCACAGATTACAAGGTCTATCTATCTTTGCATTTTGGATTCAACTTCCAACTGATGTTCTTGCTGAGTTTGGTTTTTTTCACATGAATTCACATGATTATTTTCATTACATTGGTCATCTTTCTCATTGTATTTTCATTAAATGCAGCCCTAGCCACTCTAAAGAGTAGGGAAATTAAAAGGGATGAAGGTACAAAACTTGTTGGAACGAGGGAAGTTGTAGAACTTTTTGGTGACATTTTGATATTTTGTATGTGCATCTGTGTTCATACGCTATGTGCAGTTAGGCTGTGGTTATGCATTTGTAGTTTGGTAAATCCGTATGCAGAACTATGTTACCGTCAATTCTCATATTGTGACCAGTGCCTTGTTTACCTCTACTGTAAAGTACCATCTCTATTTGAATCAATTTTATAGGAGAGACAGGCCTTTATGTGTGATACCACTGCTTAGATTAAAAATGTCATTATGTTTCCTACATCAAATCCTGTTCGCCCTGTTTAATCTTTGTTGGGGTATTATGCTGTTAACACGAACTCAACATCTCGACAACTGGACCTTCAGATATCAGGACGACCTGAAATCGGAGTATCTTTTCTTTAAACCTAGTCTGCTAAATTTGTTTTTTGATTCTGCTGTTTTAAGTTAATTTGATTTTTAGTGACTGGACTGGCAGTTCTTGCTGTAGATTCAGCTATATTAGATCAAATTGACTGCTGGCGTGCCCTCCTATCTTTGCTAGGTTTGACCTGATCTAACTCTGTTTGTCTGTAAGACGAGTAGGACAAAGACAAGGGAGTCTTTCATGGAAGCCTTTGGGGGCGGCTGAGTGCGGCGCCTTTGACTCCTAATTACTGATAATGTGTTTGCTCTCAGTACCTGTTTGAATCTCTTCCTGCAGATACTACAGCCCTTGATCTACATCCGCTCTCTATCGTAACCTCTCCTCTGTTACCCATCCACTCCACACATCTCCAACACCTTGTCACAGGAGGCCAGTCAGCTACACGCAAGTCAGACTTCATCTCCGGCTTTGCTATGCAAGCCTTCACCCAGGCGCACTGGCAGGGGTGGTGGCACAGGTTTACATTCACCCTACTGTCCATGCTGTTGCAGTTACTCACCCGGTACAATGAAATATTGTTGTTCTCTACCATCCGCCAGGTTCTTTGGGTCATTTCTTGGAAGAATTGGACATCGTCCTGTCCAACTTCCCTGAAAATGGCCCTCCGCTCATCCTCCTGGGACACTTTAACATCCAGACATCAGAGTCATCTGACCTCTTACTCCTACTTCTTACTTCTTCTTTCGCTCTGTCACTCAGTCCCTCTCCTCCTACTCACAAAGCCGGCAATCACCTTGACTACATCTTCACCTCGACGTGACACTTGACAGCCAATTCTCCCTGACAACATCCCTCCCAACATCACCGCGACAACACGATCCTGTAGATACACTCTCTACAACATCAGGAGAATACATCCGCTTCTCACTCAGAAGGCTGCCCAGGTACTGATTCAGGCTCTTGTCATCTCACGCCTGGACTACTGCAACTCGCTACTGGCAGGTTTCCCCGCTACCGGCCTTCGATCTTTGCAGCTCATCCAGAATGCAGCAGCTCGACTCTTCTTTAATCTTCTGAAAATCTCCCACACTACTCCACTCCTCCGCTCTCTGCCAGTTCAAAACATTGGTGCTCACGTACCATGCTGTGAATGGATCGGGTCCAGCTTACATCCAGGACATCTTGGTCAAACCCTACATCCCAACCCGCATTCTCCGCGGGGCAGCCACATGGGGCAGCCTGGACTCAAACCACCAACCTTGTGCTTCCCAGCACACCTTCTCTAACCCCTGCGCCACAACAACCCCTAGACTAGATCACAACTCTTTGCTGTCCTTGCACAGAGATTCTTCACATCTTCCACCGCAAACTAAAGACACACATCTTCCACTGCAAACTAAAGACACACCTCTTCAGACTTTACCTCGACTAAAAGACTAACAAATTGTAGCACTTAAATTGTACTTGTAATGGCTCTTATCTATAGCAAGTTGTAAATCGCCTTATTTAAGGAAATTCCACTTTCCTTTTTCTTGTTCTGTTGAGTTTGTATCCTTCTGGTTGAAATGCACCTATTGTTGCTTTGGATAAAAGCGTCAGCTAAATAATCTGTAATGTAAACATGTAATATTTGCTCTATTTCAGTACCCGTGGATATACGCGTCAAAGATGTGCCACAAGAGGGCAGAAGCTCAATTTAAAGTATGCATTAGAAACGTGCCACTGAATTCTCTAAAAAAATGTTCCTTTGTCCATTTCAAATTAAAAGCCCTGTACTGTTTCAATGGAAAAAGGCCTTCTTTACATTGTTCACAATGTGTCGGAAAAATTAATGATTTTCTATTTATAGTTCACATCACTAGGCTACACAGTTTTTAGAGTTCATGGGTTGAAAGATGCAGTATCAACTAGGGCTGTCAACGAATATTCTATATTCGAATAGAAGTTGAAAACAACTCTTCGAATGTAAAAAATAAAAAAAAATAAAAAAGGCGGCACGACTGTCTGCTTTGCGAGAGGGAGAAAGAGAGAGAGAGAGAGAGAGAGAGAGAGCGTGTGTGCGAGCGAGTGATTTGCGGTCGTGGCCGTTAGTTTATTTATTTATTTTTGTGCAGATAATATGTTGTTAAATAGGTTTAAACTTAAATAAATTACCTATACAAGTAGTTATGTCTCGTTGTATTAATTTGTCCGGTTATTGACGTGTCTAATGCGCGAACCGAATATATTCGAATATCTGTCTTTTTTTAAAGCGAATTTTCGAACGTCCTTTTTGAGCAATTTTGACAGCCCTGGTATCAACAAAAGATTAAAACACTGAATTGTTAACTTTGATTGAGATTGTTACGAACCTTCCTACAGGGATAAAGAGATAAAACACCAGAATCATGGTGCTACGTTGAGTCCCCACAAAGAGGTCACCGATGATGGTGGGAGCAATGGTGGAGTAGCTGGCCTCTCCAATCCCGACCATGGCTCGTAACAGCATCAGAAGCCAGAAGTACTAAAGAGTTCAAGACAATAGCAGTGAAGAAGTTCAACATGGTTCAGCTGCAAATAGAATAAGAATCCTCTCAGTTTAACAGACGATATTGCTTTAAGGCCTGTCAATATTGTCTGGACGAATTTAGTTATTTAATTAATGTTATGTAATATTTGCCTACTGAATATTTTCTCTGCGGGTTTGTATTCAAAAGACTAGTTTCCTGGACACAAGCTCACTGTACAGCAAATCATTTTCGGCTAGTAGCAGGAAGTGACACCTCATTTCTTCTCATTTCTTGTATCGCATTTTGGTTTTTACGTGTCAACACTTCCCTTTCTCACTTACCGACTCTGTGACAAAAGAGCTGCCAGCTGCAGTCACAAGCCAAACACTCAAACCACCAATCATGATGTGTTTCCGGTTGTAACGGTCTCCAAGGTAACCAAAGAGAGGCGCCAAGAGTAGAAAACTGCTGATGAAAACTGAAAGTACATTGTTAAGAATGAATTCCCTCTTCTAAATAAAACAGCTTCAAGAAGGTGGGTAATCAACGCATAGTTCTTTGACTAATGGAGAACAAGAAAATGTATGGGCCTGTCTCACAATAGACAACAGTGATCAAGTCACTTTCACCACATGTTGCACAACTTAATCTGAAGTAATACAGGGTAAAATGCAGATCTCATATGTGTGAGTGTTTCTATTCTAAATCATCATACCTGTTTGTATAAGTGCAGCCATACTGTCACTTATTTGAAAGAATTCTTGAATGTGGGGAAGGACACCTGTATGACAATGAGAACAAGTCATGTGTGAGCCCAGAAACGCGAGTCAAGGCGTGTTTGCTGACACACAAGAGGTCCTCTAACCTGCTATCGTGTACCGTTCTGCGTAGTTAAGCAAGTTGATGTAACAAAGCACGGCGACGGCGACGTAGGCACGTCTAGGTGATATGGTCACTTTCTCCTTTTCCTCTGCCCTTGGTGTGATCGATGACAGGCTGCTCACAAAAGCGCCGTAACGTAGACTGGAGCCGGACCCCACTCTCCATCGAGGTGTCACCTCGTCTTTTGGCTGCATACTGAGCAGCGCTTTGTTCACCTGGGGATGGAGAATGTGGGACGTAGTTTCAGAGGAATCATTTACCCTCTGCCTTCTGACCAAAGATGATAATGCTGGAGTGTGTGCACAGTAGTTTCACCACACAACTCAATACAGCTCACTGACAGGACTTCATTACAATGTATTTAAAGTTGGGAAAATAAACCTTTTAAAGTGGATTCAAATGACACATCTTTAAAATACACTGTGATTCCATCTCAAACACAATGAGTGACTGTTTCTATCCCTCTGGAGAAACGCATGCTGGGAAGTGTAGTGCATTTCCCACAGTATGGGTTGCCATTGAGGCCAAAGATAATGTAGTTTGGGAGAAACCTGTTATAGTGGTTTTTAGATGTAGTCCTAATGACCCAGTAGGCAGTTACACAACTGTGTCAGAACACCCGATTGCAAACACATGTCAAAGAGTCGGAGAAAAGAGAAGGAGCTTTTTCGATTGGCAATTATTTCAGCTCCTGTGCGATCTTACGACACTCTAAGTACACAAGAGGATGTGATGGGGAAAGTAATTCAGGGATTATGACATGTATGACATTGCAAACTACTGGTTTACAAAACTTTAGTTAAAAAAACTAGTGTTTTGCATGCATAAGTCAGACTAGAGAGTAAAAAGATAAGAAATGTAAAATATGTAATATTGTAAATAAACACATTTTAGTACAATTTGAAGTGCATGGTGAAAATTACTGGTGCATTCTGCTCTGGTATTAAGTTAACGCAGTGTCAACAATGACATCATTGTGCATAAAATATTTGCTTACACACATAGTGGAACAGCTGCACTCTAAGACTTGCCTCATTTTTTAACAAACATTCTGATACGCTTTCATATTCACGTCATATCGACATAAACCTTGCAATAAACGTAATAGATGGACCCACCTATTCGTCGATGTTATCTTGTTATCTTCTCAGTTCATCTTTGCACTTGTCAGACTTGACGGTTTGCCTCTGAGGCTTGAAGAAACTAACAGAGTTCTCAGCTCTTCCGAGAGATATTAAGTTAGTGAAGGGACCAGCCCACTCTGGGCAGGTCTTGTGCTTTCACTCGCTGTCATGTAATGCTGTAAACAAGACACATAGTTGCACACACCTCTTGTTTAGTAAGAAAGTAAGGAAGAATTGCTTCTGGTCTGATGCATTGAGGAGCTTTTACAGTCTTAGACACACATCTCTCACAGCGGAAGGAAAAGTGCTGAGGGGTCGTGTAATGACACACAATGGCGGCCGCAGTTTTGTTGTTTAAGCAGGTGCTGTTTATATATTTGGATTTTGAAAGAGTAATATTGACTTTGAGACATTATTTCATGTCAGGCCATTTACATGCGTCTAACTGTGAACAGATAATTAATTAATTACAGATAATTAAAAGGTGGCCTTGCCCATCACCCACAGTAACAAGTGTAAGACAAGTGTTCTGAAACACATTTGAACATTTTATTCTTGGAACCTCGAAAAGCTGCTACCTTCTATTATTTTCACTCATGTGACAGCAAAGCTGCTGTCTGAAACCCACATAGCTTTTCAAATGTGTGACACTACTGATTATAAATTTCTATCTGTAATAATATTGAAGACATGTTATAGTGCTGGAAAGCCTTGACTGACGAGTGTAAATAGAATCTGTATCTTTTAGCAGAACAACCATCCAATAAAGGAAATGACCCGTTAGCACATAGCCACACGGTCCGTCTGTGTCAGCTCATTCACAGGCATACACAGCAAAATTCTTAGAGTTAATTTTCCGGTGGTAGGCAAAAGTCTTGAAACCCTAACCCTAACCCTGCCATAAGCGTCTCATCAGTTATCACTTTCAGATGACAAAGTAAACAGTGAAAGATGAGTTAGACAGTGCAAACACTTATTATTACCATTTCCATTACATTACATGCTGCTTCAGCATTCCGAGTATTGTTCTTCAAATGTTTATTGCTGGAATGCTGCTTCATCATTCCGAGTATTGTTCTTTAAATGTTTATTGCTGGAATGCTGCTTCATCATTCCAAGTATTGTTCTTTGAATATTTATTGCTGGAATGCTGCTTCATCATTCCAAGTATTGTTCTATGAATATTTATTGCTGGAATGCTGCTTCATCATTCCAAGTATTGTTCTTTGAATCTTTATTGCTGGAATGCTTTGACTCTTTATTCCTGGACAGACATACAAACCACATGCTTGCATTCGGTAGAGTCTTGGGTCTCGCACAAACTTCTTATTTTTTAGATAGCCATTATAGTTTTGCGCGAGAGGACACTTGTTTGAGGTGTGGATTCTGTGTAAATCGCTGTCCATCTCTGCCCTTTGAGCAGCTTGTTAATGAACCCAGGTGTGCCGTTACCGTGGATACTCACACACACACACACACACACACACACACACACACACACACACACACACGCTGCAGTCTGCGTCTGTTCGTCTCACACAGCTGAACCATATTACCTAATTAGTAAAGTCACATGACGCAGCTATGCTTTCGCCACGAAACCCCTCGCTTTCCCCCTGACCCCTCCATACTCTACCCCCCCAGCCATCTTGTCAGCCCCTCACGGAGCCCCCTCTGCTCCATGTTCACAGATGCCCCCCTCCCCAATTCCCCCTCCTCACAGAAGTCCCCCCCTTCCTGCCTCCTCCCTTCTAACTCTGCCCCCCCCCATAATTATAAAATAAAAACCCCATGGAGGGGATTCTTACTGTAATGTTACTGACAAGGCCTATCAATTAATAACTTCCTAGTTTAGAGGAAAAACATTCTGTCTCCCAACCTACTCTTACTACTATAAAAGGTGCTACTGGTATTTCTACTGCTATTAATACTTCAACAAGTACGAATGTTACTACAAATACTATACTATGACTAATAATATTAGTATTACAGCTGATAATAGTAGTAATACTACTCTACTACTTCTAGTTGTTCTGCTGCTATTGATACTAACACTACTAATACTTATTCTACTACTAGTACTACTACTACCACAATTACAACTATAACTTCTAATGTTACTACAAAAAATAAACCTCTTCTCAGCATTTGTTATTTCTGACTCTTTCAAATTAATTTCAGTTTTTCTAATTTCTGTATTTTCAGCAGCTTTTTAAAACTAATTTTAGCTTCTGTATTTTCAGAAGTTCAGCTTCTCCCATTTCTGTATGTTCAGAAGTTCTTTAAAAAAGCTTCAGCTTTTCTTAGGCCTATATCAACAGCAATGTTTTTATATTCATTTCTGGGGGTTTTGCCATTTTTCAAATTCATATCAGCTTCTCCCATTTCTGTATTTTTAGCATTTTTTTCAAATTCATTTCAGCTTTTAGCTTTCAGCATTCCAACGCATTTTCTGCAGGAAATGCATTTTCTAGTTATTATTATTATTTATGTTGTTATTATTGCAAGACAAAGTAGGCCACTGCTAATAGTATCCATAACCAAAGTCAATATTGCTATCAATTGCAGTCATCTAGTGAGCTTTACAGTTGACATGATGACCCAATATCTACAGCGATAAACTGCAAAACATCACCAGTGTTCCAACATTAACATTCCAGGTTTTGGTTAGGATGGTGTTGGACTATAAGCATTTTCTCAGGGACATAAAGTTGTTCTTTGCCATTTTCAGCAACTCTCTCCAGAGTGATTGGTCATCAATGTGAACCAACAGGGCAAGATACCTTCCCTCACGTGTTTCTTATTTTAAAATATAAAGAAACTTTGCCAATTTGCCACAAAAAATGCATCAATACATTAATTATTTGACATGTTCGATAAATAATATTTGTTTGGTAATAGTCCACCTGATCAGAGAGTAATGCTACCTAAAGGAGAAATTAAAAAACGATCTGTCTTAGTAGTAGATAACAATAAAAAGATGAATGATTTTAAAAATGATTTTAAAAACATTTCAAGAGTATATTGCAGGATGAACGTAATAGCATTTCATTAATTTATTTTCTTTGTATATTGGCAAATTAAATCTGAGAAGAGATTGAAATCGAAGCTATATCCAGAAGATGGCAGCACCATGTAGGATCCCGGCGCCTGTAAAATACAAGAGAAGAAGAAGAAAGTCATCAGCAGCAGCAGCAGCAGAAGACGACCAAGAAGAAGAATGACGAGAATATACGGAAAATAGAGGGGACGAAGTGCACGTTACATTAACGCTGTTACCACTAAATATTACCATTGAACATTGCTGCATTACACTCGCCAAGCTATGACAGAGCCGCAGTCAGTGCTGTTACTCAGGAGACAGCTTGCAGGTAATTAAACCGTATGTGCACTGACGCTGGCTAGCGTTAGCTATGATTCAAACTACGGTGCAAACTGTTGTCGCGACTCTTTCCCCCGACTAACATCACTGTCCCGTTACAAATGGACCGCGGTGAGACCATAGCAGTGTTGGTCGGCCGGCACATTGCACTCTCCGCAATCAAACGCACTCGGTGTTTTGGGAGATCAACTCGTTTGGATGCGTGGTTCGACGCCGCGCCCGGATCTCTGTGGGAAAGCCGCTGTCAAAGTCTCACCGAGTCGCTGGTAAAAGGCTAACGGCTAAATGCAGCTAGCCTAGCATTAGCCTCTAGCTCACTTCACCGACTCGGCGTGTTTACACAAACACAATATATATATATACATATATATTTATGCTTCATGCCCCATAACAAGTGGTGCTTTTCTTTAGAGGAAACGGGTTTGATAGTGCAGTTATGCCAAAGGCGTGACATTTATTGCAATATATGATCTAACATGTAGAACGGTAACGTTTTGCCAGGTGACCCAATTTCTCTTGCTAACCAAATTGAATTATTTAACATATCTAGCCACCTTGCTAAATCGATAAGCTAAAGTTAGCTGCCGTCACTGTTGTGAGTTACGACGCGAAAAAACACCAAGCATAACGTTAATCTCGCATTATCGCTAACTCTTATTTGCGACTTTAGCAGTCACCCGCGAATGTATTTGAGCAACCCAAATATTATCATCCAAAGCAGCAGTGATGGTTCGTAGCATGTTATTGTTAACGTTACTTGTTACGTTTTTACTCTGATTGTGTTTTCCATAAGCAACCTTTCAGGGACATAATGTTTTCCTCCGTAGGTTTCAGGTACTCTCTCAATAGTGATTGGTAATTGAACTGGACCAGAATAGTTTTAAGTGTGATGTTTTTCAAATGAGCAAAACATACATACTTGCATACTTGATTTGTTGCAAGCTGTTACAAATATGTCACAAGCACATTGACAAATGCATTTTCATGTATTATATAGTCTTGTGTCTAACTGAAACAAACAAGTCTGGACCAAACGCATGAATGCCACGCAAAGTGCTGTAGTAAGTCAGATGCAGCTATTCTGAACAGACTTGCAAAAAGTACCAAAAGTTAGTTTGCCTTTACAAGTGAGCCTTCATACAGCACATGCTGTACATGTTCCACGACATACCAATAAACTTATTAAACATGTTTAGAAGTCAATCCTCTTCTCAATCTGGATGATCATCAAAAGACTATGATGGACTATTGTACAGATCTTTTGAAGAATTCCCAAGACCAGATTGTGCAGAGTTTAATTTAAAATCAGGCTCAGTGTTATTGAAATCCCATATTATGGTAGCTAACAGACCAACATTATGTTATCTTTTTTAGAAGTTAAGGGTGTAACGATTCATTCACTGAATCGATTTATATTCTTGCGATCCAACTGAGTCAATCTGTGCTCCGAAATTGGCATTCCGGAGGAGATATATCGATTACAAATAGATTGAAATGGTACATAATCGATTTGTATCGATACTTGGAAACTGCACATTGGATTTAAGTACAAAAACGGTATGGGTGTGTGTTTGTTTGTTTGTTTTTTAGCACTTTAGACACGTTAAACGATTCAGTCTGCCTGTCTGTGACGTCATCAGTACGCAGCGGCAGCCGCGCTAAACTCTGAACAACAACAAAACACAGCGTGGTGGAGACGACTGCGAGCAAGACATTTAAAAACCAACTTATCGATCCAGCGTGTGGAAACATTTAGGCTTTTGCAAGCACGGAGGTGTTCTAAATAAGTTGGTCGCTGTTTGTAGAATATGTAGAAGCCAAATAAAAAAACACGGAAACTCCGGGATTCTGTGAATTGATCCAAACATTGTGTAATTATTGTGTAATGTTTACATTGAAAATGGCACTTGATTCAAATAAAAGGTTAACACATTTGCCAGTAATTGTTGTTTGCTTGTTTATAATATCCATAATTAATTTAAACCTGATTTCCTTACAAGAAACAACAGGGATCTCAGAAACTTTGCCAGCACTGTCCAGTAAAGTTACTGAATCGATTTCAAGTCACTGAATCGAATCGTTCTAAATTAACCCAGATCGTCCATGAATCGAATCGGCAACCATGAATCGTGATTCGAATCGAATCGTTGTTAAAATGAATCGTTACACCCCTAGTAGAAGTGCAAAATCCTCACGGTGTCAACCTCAATAGAAGTAGTTACGGTATTTGAGTATGTAATTATTCTATAATGAATGACGCAACAAGTTGAAAGTGCAACGTTAGGAGTTGCAATTTACTTTATCTTGAAAAATGCATATCTGCTTATGAGTTGGCTGTGGACCGTTAAAGTTGTTTGCCTGGTTTCAGCAACATGCTGCCTTTATTTCAACCCTCAGGCAGGCCTCTTAAGACGAGGGGTATGTTGTCTCCTCAGCAGTCTTCAGGAAAGCCCACCATCAGTCAGCCTGTATACTACAGGCATTATTATACAAGCTAATGGTTGTCTAACTTGTTTTTATATCTAGAGCTGAACAAAAACCCAGTGGAGGGATTCTCAGCAGGCCTGATCGAGGATAGTGATCTCTACAGATGGGAGGTCCTCATCATTGGTCCTCCAGATACACTCTAGTAAGTTAATCTTTGCCTTAGCGTGAGATATAGGAGGAGAAATCTGCTATTATGCTGTGCTAATGTTATGTTACAACTCATATTGCGTCTTATGCTTTGAAACGTGAAAAAAATTCACTGTTTTTTCTCTTCGATCTTTTTTTTTTTTTTATTCACAGTGAAGGTGGTGTGTTTAAAGCTCATCTGACATTTCCCAAAGACTACCCTCTCAGACCACCTAAAATGAAATTTATCACAGACATTTGGCACCCTAATGGTAGGTACAGGGGTAGCACACTGAATCATTTTGCTTTTGTATGTAGCAAGACATGTATATAGCTCCATTGTTGAAGATTTTCCCTTTCATTATATGCTTTAATAACAATGAATATTGATACACAATTGATCAAAATGGAATATCAACTAAAAGATAATTTGATGCCCATTCATTGCATTAGTTCATACATTCAGGTGATCTTATTTTAAATTGAAGAAACATTCTAGCAGGTTTAACTTCCAACTGTTGTAACAGACATTTGACAAGTACTGCTGAGAAATGAAATGCATCATGAGCACTCAGGGAGAAAACTGAGTAGTGTTGAGTTTTATATAGACTATTTCTTACTCACTATTCCTTATAACGTGTTAATGTGTGACAGAATGGTATGTTAACATTCAAATTCAATGTCGTATGAACAGCGTTATGAAAAACGCCTGGTTTTTGTTCAAGTTGACATAAAATAGAAATATCTGAATTTGAGTGTTCCTTTTTAATGTAGTATATATTTTTTCTCATTCTTTATGAAGTTTATAAATCTAGATTGCTGTTCACTCAAGTTTGTTGAGTTATTACAGAAGCTGAGAACCTTGAAAAGGGAAATGTCTTTAGACATTGGAGGTGTTTTTTCATGCCATTAAATCAATCATGAGTATCTAATTTTTACGGTTGTTTCTTTCCCCAATACTTTGACACGTAATGTAAACATTACACAGTGAAAGCAACAAACAAACAAGACAAAGCAAGACAACAAACTTTAGTACGCCGGTCAGGCCTGACAAAGGCAGTGCAGACCAGATCCACCACTATTCTTCCTTTCACAATAAAACTCTTTGTCAAATATATTGCGGAATTGTTTCAATGAGAAGCACTCACGGTTCTGCTGTGAAAGTATTTTGCATTTTTGTGTCTTTTATTCCTTACAGCCCGGGTGTGTAAAGGCCTGCTGTCTGAGTATGAATATGTGCAGATGTGTGCAGAACATTAACAAAACTATACACACAGCAGACTAAAGTCTGTAAGTGTGAACACAGATGCTTCTGCAAAATATTGCTTTAAAGAAGAGGCAGATATTTATCTTACACACTATAGATAAGCTACATTGTATGTGTGTGTGTTTCCTGCTTCCTAAATTGTACTATGCATGTTTTTTTTCATTGCCAGTTGACAAGAATGGAGATGTCTGTATTTCTATTTTGCACGAGCCTGGAGAGGACAAATACGGCTATGAGAAACCTGAGGAGCGCTGGTTACCTATCCACACAGTGGAAACCATCATGATTAGTGTTATCTCTATGTTGGCAGACCCAAATGGTGACTCGCCAGCCAATGTGGATGCTGCAGTAAGTTTACTTTAATAAAATATGAATTCAATCTCAATTAAAATATATATAGCCTTTATATTTAAAACACAATAAAGAAGCTAAGTTGCCAATTTTGTTTTGCATGTTATTAAGTAGTGCGTAGGAATACAATTCATATTTTTGGTGTAATTATACTAAATATAATGTTGAAATTCAACAATGGAGATATGCCTTTAAGAAATATCAAAAGGAAGCCGCTGAATTATCTTTCACCTTTTTTTCCGCCGCCCTTGCAGAAAGAGTGGAGGGAGGACAGGCACGGCGCATTCAAAAGGAAAGTGGCCCGTTGTGTACGAAAAAGCCAAGAGACTGCATTTGAGTGATATTCGGCAAAGATCTAGCTTCAAGTTTTCAGGCAAGTATTCTTTAATTTTCTAAAAACGGTGGTTCACAACTGACTTCTGCTGTTGTGAATCAGGTAATCTAATCATCAGGTAAATTAAAGAAAAACTCATCGTTTCAACATAAACAGCAGCCATGACAAGTTTATTGTTGGAATGCATTAAGCATTCCAAGTATTGTCTTCGGAATCTTTATTGTTGGAATGCATTAAGATGCATTCCAAGTATTGTTCTTCGCATCTTTATTTCTTCATCTTCTATTTCTTCCGCGCCACCTTTCAACTCCTTCACACTTTCAGCTATTAAAATCCTTCAAATATTAAAATGTTCAGCTCCTTTCCGGCTTTCCCAGCTATGACTTTTCAGCTTTCTACCTCTTAAGCTTGAATTTATATAAATCAATAATCATTAATATTTTAACATGGTTTTCAAATGGAGTTAGTTTTCAAATCCTCCTTAAACTTCTTCAACTTTCAGATTTTTCAGCTTCGCAAATCTTTCAGCTACAGACACCATTTAAACTTTGAGACACAAAAGTCTCAACTATTTTATAAAAGAAACTTCTTGTTGATATCTATTCTACTTTTTTCATAATCACTGATTATGTTTCACAAGTTTTTCGGTCCGTTTTTGAGTTTTACATGAGTGTGTATTGCGTTTGTTAGAGTGACAGCTGGAGCTCTAGAGTGTAGCGCAGCGGCAGAATGTAGTTAAAAAAATGTGGAACTTCTGTCCTTCCAACCGAAGTATACACTTTTGAGGCTTCATTTCTTTGGATTAATGATTGCATGGTTGTGCTGATTGTGGCTATGGAATCCCAAAGTTCTTTAGTTTTTGCCTAGGGAGCCCGAGCTTGAGACAACAGCAGTCTCACGCTCCATAGGCTCCAATACAAATCTGCCGACATATTTCTCAAGAAAACCAGAAGGTACAAGTTTTGTAAACATCCAGTGATATAGCAGTAACATCATGAAGGCTGTCAAAATTGCTCAAAAATGACTTTCGAATATTCGCTTAAACCCCCCCACAGATATTCGGATATCTAGTTGCGCATTAGGCACGTCAATAACTGGTCAAATTAATAGAAGGAGACATAACTACTTGTATAGGTAATTTATTTAAGTTTAAACCAATTTAACAAATTACCTGCACAAAAAAAAGTAAATTAACTAACGGCCAAGACCGCAGACCTCTCTCTGCGTAAAGCGGTTTAAATGAACGACAACAATAAACAAATGCCGAGTGCTGATAATCCTGGTAATCCTACCCGTTGGTAATCCTACCCGAAGGTGCTCCTACCAGTTGGTAATCCTACCCGATGGTAATTCTACCCGATGGTGATCCTACCTTATGGTAATCCTACCCGTTGATAATCCTACCCAAAGGTGCTTCTACCCGATGATAATCCTACCCGATTGTAATCCTACCCGAAGGTGCTTCTACCCGTTGGTAATCCTACCCGATGGAAATCCTACCCGTTGGTAATCCTACCTGAAGGTGCTTCTACCAGTTGGTAATCCTACCCGATGCTAATCCTACCCGTTGGTAATCCTACCTGTTGGTAATCCTTCGCGATTGGGATCCTACTTTATGGTAATCCTACCCGTTGGTAATCCTACCCGAAGGTGCTCCTACCCGTTGGTAATCCTACCCGATGGTAATCCTACCCGAAGGTGCTTCAACCTGTTGGTAATTCCTACCCAAAGGTGCTTCTACCCGTTGGTAATCCTACCCGAAGGTGCTTCAACCCGTTGGTAATCCTACCCGAAGGTGCTTCTACCCGATGGTAATCCTACCCGAAGGTGCTTCTACCTCGTTGGCAATCCTACCCAAAGATGCTTTCTACCCGTTGGTAAATCTACCCGTTGGTAATCCTACCCGAAGGTGATTCTACCCGTTGGTAATCCTACCCGATGGTAATCCTACCTGATGGTAATCCTACCCGATGGTAATCCTACCCGATGGTAATCCTACCCGATGGTAATCCTACCCGTTGGTAATCTTACCCGATGGTAATCCTCCCCGATGGTAATCCTACCCGATGGTGATTCTACCCGATGGTAATCCTACCCGTCGGTAATCCTACCCGATGGTAATCCTACCCGAAGGTACTTCTACCCGATGGTAATCCTACCCGATGGTAATCCTACCCGAAGGTGCTTCTACCCGTTGGTAATTCTACCCGATGGTAATCCTACCCGATGGTAATCCTACCCGAAGGTGCTTCTACCCGAAGGTGCTTCTACCCGTTGGTAATCCTACCCGATGGTAATCCTACCCGATGGTAATCCTACCCGTTGGTAATTTTACCGTTGGTAATCCTACCCGATGTTAATCCTACCCGAAGGTGCTTCTACCGTTGGTAATCTTACCCGTTGGTAATCCTACCGGAAGGTGCTTCTACCCGTTGGTAATTCTACCAGATGGTAATCCTACACGATGGTAATCCTACCCGAAGGTGCTTCTACCCGTTGGTAATCCTACCCGTTGGTAATCCTACCCGATGGTAATCCTACCCGATGGTAATCCTACCCGTTGGTAATTTTACCCGTTGGTAATCCTACCCGTTGGTAATTTTACCCGTTGGTAATCCTACCCGATGTTAATCCTACCCGAAGGTGCTTCTACCCGTTGGTAATCTTACCCGATGGTAATCTTACCCGATGGTAATCCTACCCATTGGTAATCCTACCCGTTGGTAATCCTACCCGATGGTAATCCTACCCGTTGGTAATTCTACCCGATGGTAATCCTACCCGAAGGTGCTTCTACCCGATGGTATTCCTACATGTTGGTAATCCTACCCGATGGTAATCCTACCCGTTGGTAATCCTACCCGATGGTAATCCTACCCGTTGGTAATTCTACCCGATGGTAATCCTACCCTAAGGTGCTTCTACCCGAAGGTGCTTCAACCTGTTGGTAATCCTACCCAAAGGTGCTTCTACCCGATGGTAATCCTACCCGTTGGTAATTTTACCCGAGGGGTAATTCTACCCGATGGTCATACTACCCGTAGGTAATTCTACCCGATGGTAATCCTACAAATAGATAATCCTACCCGATGGTAATCCTACCCGTAAGTACTCCTACCCGTTGGTAATCTCACCCGATGATAATCCTACCCGAAGGTACTTCTACCCGATGGTAATCCTACCCGTTGGTAATCCTACCCGATGGTAATCCTACCCGTTGGTAATCCTACCCGTTGGTAATCCTACCCGAAGGTGCTTCTACCCGTTGGTAATCCTACCCGTTGGTAATCCTACCCAATGGTAATCCTACCCGTTGGTAATCCTACCCGTTGGTAATCCTACCCGAAGGTGCTTCTACTCGTTGGTAATTCTACCCGATGGTAATCCTACCCGATGGTAATCCTACCCGAAGGTGCTTCTACCCGTTGGTAATCCTACCCGATGGTAATCCTACCCGTTGGTAATCTTACCCGTTGGTAATCCTACCCGTTGGTAATCCTACCCGTTGGTAATCCTACCCGTTGGTAATTCTACCCGATGGTAATCCTACCCGATGGTAATCCTACCCGTTGGTAATCCTACCCGATGGTAATCCTACCCAATGGTAATCCTACCCGTTGGTAATCCTACCCGTTGGTAATCCTACCCGAAGGTACTTCTACTCGTTGGTAATTCTACCCGATGGTAATCCTACCCGATGGTAATCCTACCCGAAGGTGCTTCTACCCGTTGGTAATCCTACCCGATGGTAATCCTACCCGATGGTAATCCTACCCGATGGTAATCCTACCCGATGGTAATCCTACCCGTTGGTAATTCTACCCGATGGTAATCCTACCCTAAGGTGCTTCTACCCGATGGTATTCCTACCTGTTGGTAATCCTACCCGATGGTGCTTCTACCCGTCGGTAATCCTACCCGTTGGTAATCTCACCCGTTGGTAATCCTACCCGAAGGTGCTTCTACCCGTTGGTAATCCTACCCGATGGTAATCCTACCCAAAGATGCTTCTACCCGTTGGTAATCCTACCCGTTGGTAATCCTACCCGATGGTAATCCTAGCCGAAGGTGCTTTTACCCGATGGTAATCCTACTCGTTGGTAATCCTACCCGAAGGTGCTTCTACTCGTTGGTAATTCTACCCGATGGTAATCCTACCCGATGGTAATCCTACCCGAAGGTGCTTCTACCCGTTGGTAATCCTACCCGATGGTAATCCTACCCGTTGGTAATCTTACCCGTTGGTAATCCTACCCGATGTTAATCCTACCCGATGGTGCTTCTACCCGTTGGTAATCCTACCCGTTGGTAATCCTACCCGTTGGTAATTCTACCCGATGGTAATCCTACCCGAAGGTGCTTTTACCCGATGGTATTCCTACCTGTTGGTAATCCTACCCGATGGTAATCCTACCCGATGGTAATCCTACCCGAAGGTGCTTCTACCCGTTGGTAATCTTACCCGATGGTAATCTTACCCGATGGTAATCCTACCCGTTGGTAATCCTACCCGTTGGTAATTCTACCCGATGGTAATCCTACCCGAAGGTGCTTTTACCCGATGGTATTCCTACCTGTTGGTAATCCTACCCGATGGTAATCCTACCCGAAGATGCTTCTACCCAATGGTATTCCTACCTGTTGGTAATCCTACCCGATGGTGCTTCTACCCGTTGGTAATCCTACCCGAAGGTGCTTCTACCCGTTGGTAATCCTACCCGATGGTAATCCTACCTCATGGTAATCCTACCCGAAGGTGCTTCTACCCGTTGGTAATCCTACCCGTTGGTAATCCTACCCGAAGGTGCTTCTACCTGTTGGTAATCCTACCCGATGGTAATCCTACCCGTTGGTAATTCTACCCGATGGTAATTCTACCCAAAGGTGCTTCTACCCGATGGTATTCCTACCTGTTGGTAATCCTACCCGATGGTGCTTCTACCCGTCGGTAATCCTACCCGTTGGTAATCTCACCCGTTGGTAATCCTACCCGAAGGTGCTTCTACCCGATGGTATTCCTACATGTTGGTAATCCTACCCGATGGTAATCCTACCCGTTGGTAATCCTACCCGATGGTAATCCTACCCGTTGGTAATTCTACCCGATGGTAATCCTACCCTAAGGTGCTTCTACCGATGGTATTCCTACCTGTTGGTAATCCTACCCGATGGTGCTTCTACCCGTCGGTAATCCTACCCGTTGGTAATCTCACCCGTTGGTAATCCTACCCGAAGGTGCTTCTACCCGTTGGTAATCCTATCCGTTGGTAATCCTACCCAATGGTAATCCTACCCGTTGGTAATCCTACCCGTTGGTAATCCTACCCGAAGGTGCTTCTACTCGTTGGTAATTCTACCCGATGGTAATCCTACCCGATGGTAATCCTACCCGAAGGTGCTTCTACCCGTTGGTAATCCTACCCGATGGTAATCCTACCCGTTGGTAATCTTACCCGTTGGTAATCCTACCCGATGTTAATCCTACCCGATGGTGCTTCTACCCGTTGGTAATCCTACCCGATGGTAATCCTACCCGTTGGTAATCCTACCGTTGGTAATTCTACCCGATGGTAATCCTACCCGAAGGTGCTTTTACCCGATGGTATTCCTACCTGTTGGTAATCCTACCCGATGGTAATCCTACCCGATGGTAATCCTACCCGAAGGTGCTTCTACCCAATGGTATTCCTACCTGTTGGTAATCCTACCCGATGGTGCTTCTACCCGTCGGTAATCCTACCCGTTGGTAATCTCACCCGAAGGTGCTTCTACCCGTCTGTAATCCTACCCGATGGTAATCCTACCTGATGGTAATCCTACCCGAAGGTGCTTCTACCCGTTGGTAATCCTACCCGTTGGTAATCCTACCCGAAGGTGCTTCTACCCGTTGGTAATCCTACCCGATGGTAATCCTACCCGATGGTAATCCTACCTGAAGGTGCTTCTACCCGTTGGTAATCCTACCCGTTGGAAATCCTACCCGATGGTAATCCTACCCGTTGGTAATCCTAGCGCTATTTGGCTGCTGATGTCTTTGTTAACATGCTTCCAAAGAAGGAAAGCGATACGCAAGCTGACTGAATGCCAATTTGTCCTGACAATCAAAATGGGTATTATTTATCTGGTGGATTTTTTAAGCTGCTGTGAGTACACTAGTTCATGCCAAGATATAACTTGGTTAACTCTCAAAAGAAAACGTTCACTCTCTGTGGCTTTTACTTCAGCCTGTCCAAACCGCGCAGGGCTCATCTTTGTGTTTCCCCCCTTTTCACTTCTCAGACATAAAACTGATGAATTTTCGCTCATATTTCAAGTTGGACTGATGGCAGGTGACACCCCCGCATAGAAACTTCTGTTACCAGGAGGGTCCTCGCTCTGATAGAGCCGTCAGCGTGCTAATTGTTGGAATGCATTAAGCATTCCAAGTATTGTTCTTCTATTCTTTATTCCGCCATCATCTTCTTCTATTTCTTCCGTTGCAGCTTTCAACTCCTTCACACTTTCAGCTATTAAAACCGTTCAAATATTAAAATGTTTAGCTCATTCAGGCTATGACTTTTCAGCTTTCTACCTCTTGATCTTGAATTTATATAAATCAATAATCATGAATATTTCTTCACATGGTTTTCCAATGGAGATTGTTTTCAATTCCTCTTAAACTTCTTTAACTTTCAGATTTTTCAGCTTCGCCAATCTTTCAGCTACAGACACCGTTTAAACTTTCAAATGTTGACACAAGTCTCAACTATTTTGTAAAAGAAACTTCTTGTTGATATCTATTCTACTTTTTTTTAAATCACTGATTATGTTTCACTAGTTTTTCGGTCCGTTTTTGAGTTTTACATGAGTGTGTATTGCGTTTGTTAGAGTGACAGCTGGAGCTCTAGAGTGTAGCGCAGCGGCAGAATGTAGTTAAAAAAATGTGGAACTTCTGTCCTTCCAACCGAAGTATACACTTTTGAGGCTTCATTTCTTTGGATTAATGATGGCATGGTTGTGCTGATTGTGGCTATGGAATCCCAAAGTTCTTTAGTTTTTGCCTAGGGAGCCCGAGCGTGAGACAACCGCAGTCTCACGCTCCATTGGCTCCAATACAAATCTGCCGACATATTTCTCAAGAAAACCAGAAGGTACAAGTTTTGTAAACATCCAGTGATATCGCAGTAACATCATGAAGGCTGTCAAAATTGCTCAAAAATGACTTTCGAAAATCCGCTTAAACACCCCCCACAGATATTCGGATATCTGGTTGCGCATTAGGCACGTCAATAACTGGTCAAATTAATAGAAGGAGACATAACTACTTGTATAGGTAATTTATTTAAGTTTAAACCAATTTAACAAATTACCTGCACAAAAAAAAGTAAATTAACTAACGGCCAAGACCGCAGACCTCTCTCTGCGTAAAGCGGTTTAAATGAACGACAACAATAAACAAATGCCGAGTGCTGATCAAGAGTTTTGTGCAAGCAATTTAGGTTGCGACTCTTGTCCCAAATATGGCAGGCTTCATTCAGTGATTGAAACTGAAAGTTTTACAGTACCAACATTGAACGCTCCGAGCGAGCTGTGCTGGTAATGTAGAGGTCGATGAGGCTTACAAAGTTAAAGCATTACAAAATCTTAGTTCGATCTCATCATGTAACTAGAAAATGCATTTCCTGCTGAAAATGAGTTTGAATGCTAAAAGCTGAAAGCTGAAATGAACTTTAGAAAATTGCTGAAAATACAGAAAGTTGAAGGGAATTTTAATACATTTGCTGAAATTACAGATATTAGAACAGCTGATATTAGTTACAAATTGGTGGATATACAGAAATGGGAGAAGCTGAAAGGAATTTCAATAGATTTCCGGAAAAAGCAGAAATGAAAACAGCTGGGGTGGTGTGGGGTGGCTGGAGTCTATCCCAGCCAACTTTGGGCGAGAGACCGGGTACAACCTGGACTGGTCGCCAGCCAATCACAGGGCTACACAGAGACAAACGACCATGCTTCAAATATTTTACTCTCATTTTGATCACATAATCATTCATTTAATTGTTTAATGTTTGTCTCAGTTGTTGTTGACAGTTGTGCTGATTGTTTAATGTTTGTGTCTCTGTTGTTGACTCATGCGATGGTTTCCGATGCGTTCTCACAACTCTTTTCCGGTTTTCACTGTGTGCTTCCCTGCAGGTCTCCAATTGAAAATCAACATGGCACAGATTCCTGCCCTCTTCCACCCTGGCACCAGGCTTGTCCTTTTTATTTTTGGCAGGAACAGACTGGCTACTGTAGGCTGCAAAAGATCACAACAGTGACTGCCACGGCTGACAGAAAACCGCCAACCAAGTGCCAATTCAAAAACCAGAAGATGACACAACGTTTTTCAAGTCTATGAACTGCTTCAACATTCAGGAAGATATTGTAAAGACATGTATATTGCACAGACAAAACCGGATAATATATAAGCTCCTTTTGCATCCATTGAGACACCAAATGAATAGCGCTGGTTAAGATAGATTTATTTTTCCATTGATTCCGTTTCTCAACAGCATGCATTAGTTCTCTTGAGGTGGTTTTAAATAGATGTATTTAATAGAAAGAGGATTGTGAAGTGTTGGAGGGATGTCACTTGTGCAGAATTGGATTTGTTGAAGCAAAAGATGAAGGACGTGTGTGATGAAAGCAATACCGCCATATTAGAAAAAAGCCACTGTACTCAAGGTTCTTTTTCACGCTCAGAAATCAACATATGTGTACATGACTGTTTTTTTTCTTCTTCTTGAGTTAGTCTCAGTTGACTCAAGAACGAAACCCGTCCCCTTTTGTTTTGTGCATCATTTTATCTTTTTTCAAAAGTGCCTCCTAATAAAACGCTTGGCCGCTTCACCTTACGTCAAATGAGTTAAAACCTATTTTAAAAAAGTTGAAGAAATGGTGCGCCACCTGTGTATGATTTTATTTAATATCCAGTACACAGGAAATCATTATCATTTGCTCTACCAATAACCCCCGTAGTATAAGGCGCACACATATTTGTGTTTGATATCCTGATACAAGTTGTACTCTGATATTTTAGCAGCCTCTTTTACTTGTCTGTGTTATGGAAATGTTATGCATGCTTTAGTGTACTTTCGTTTTGGTTTCCTTGTTTGGCTGAATGTTTCTGGGATTTTGTTGGAGAACGAGTGTTTGTGTATACAGCGTGTGTGCCCATTTAATTTTAAATGTTGCTCTTTTCCCTAAACTGCAATCTCACAATTCTGCTCATTGAACTATTGTAATTTTGCCTAATGTACAAGGAGATGAAATACTGGTGTATATTTTTGATGCCAACAAAAGTCGTCTCCTGTAGTGAGTTCTTCTAAAATATGACTTTTTTTTCCAATATTTCCTGGTGTGTTTAATTCACGTGTGTTGCATATTGGCCATGACAAAAACAACCTTTCACTTACACTATTTTTGCAATAACAATTTGTGTATTTTCTTATTTTTCCAAAAGCTTGTAGATGTTAACATTTAATCAGTTTTAAGTTCACTGCCGTCATGTGTTCAGATAATATATTTTGGTGTAACCTTCATTATCTATCTAATTTTATTGACATTATTTTAGGATAGGATTGAAAGCTATCCAGGGTTTCTGTTGGCAAACCTTACAGCCAAATTATTAAATTATCAGAATATTGTGCGTTGTAAGTGGGTACGTCGCGCTTGTTCAGACTTTATCTCCAAAATAACATCACTGCCTTTTTTGCAAACAGAATCCTAGATTTTGTTTTTTTATTCACTATCCGCTCAAGTAATTTTCTAATTATATTCTGTGCTAGAGGGGGGAACATGAGCTTGCACCATGTCTGTTTGAACATAAGATAAAAACAATCACAGTCCTCGTTAAACTAATGTTTCTTGGGGAAAATTTACTATTAACTATCGCCTGTTATATTGGTTCCATTCTTTGCATAAAATGCATTTACAGCACCATGTACTGGAGTTTACAACGCTCATGCTGTAACTTACTGTCCTGCTTCGGTTCGGATGAAACAATGATAACATAAGAGCCAAGAGTTGACACCATAGACATCTTATTAGTATGTCAGATAAAATCACTTGAGTATACATATTAATCATGCGGCATAGAAAAGCAGCAGCATCGTTTTGTAAACTAAGCTGCGCGTGTGAAACCAGCACCGTAACACGCTCACGTTCCGTCTCAAGCAGAGTAGTAATGGTCACGTGATGAGCACTTGGACGCAGCACCGCTGCCTACTATCTGTCCACTCGGCGTATCGCGATACAAAACATCAGGCCACGGAGCTAACGCGGAGCAACATGGCGGAAGGTATGAGATCGGTGTTTTTTTTTTCTTCTTACTGCTTGATTCACCCGCCGCTCCCGTGCGCTTGGTGAACTGTCGGCCCGGATCAACTCGTGTCCGGCCAGTTTAATAAACGGTGCATTGACTGTTGTTGAAAGCACGAAGCGTTGCGCTGCTTATCGCGTCACACAGTGAGCTAACGTTAGCTCTCGCTGACGTTGCTAGCTGCTATTTTTTAATAGCTACTAGTTAGCCGAACCCGACTAGATGTTGGTGGGTCGCACTACGAGCAGAACGCTTGTTTCAGCAGAAATCTGGCAGCTGGTCTGCTCCCTGAGCAAAGGAAGCATTAAGCGTATTGAGCGTTAGAGAATTTGGAGGTGATGTTGGTATTATGGGTTACAGTTTCATGGAAGAGATCAAACTCATAACGGTCTAATTTCAGTAGCTAACATTTCACCGGGACGTAACGTCACTGTGGTGGTTTTGTTTAAGCAAAAAAAAAAAACGTAATACAGTTGTTTAGGCTTGTGTGCAGTGGGTGGTGTTTAGGGGACAGGGTGCTTGTGACTCCTCCTGAGGTGCTATCTGCACCACCTGGCAGGAGGACTGTGGACTAACGTTACATCTGAGGCATAAGGGAGCGTCTCCTCCCTTGAGGAGGATTCACTAAACGGGACCGGCCTCAACCTGGTCATCAAACATTTCGTTCTCTTGGGGATTAATGTTGCTACTGTTTTTGTTAGGACTTGTTCAGGGATTATCTGCCTTTTTTCACTTAAATTAAAGCGATAAGGCTCATTTCTCTCGCTGTAGGGAGAGTTTGATTTGTAAATGCATGTGGATTTAAATGTGGTGCAATAATTAGTCCGATGGCTGGTCACTTGGTTCCATACCGCCCTTCCTGTGTTGAGCTGATCAGGTGGTTTTTGTCAGAAGCACCCCCCATCTGTTCCTCATGACCAGTAGCTGTGCCATTAACAGTTTACAATGGCAGACAAACTAACGCGCCGTCTCAGCATTCTTTCCTCCAGTAAACTTAACTTGTTTTAAGGGGAAGGAAACGGGCCCCAGTGAAACTGTGGAATCGAGGCTGACGCATAGATCTGTGTTAGGAATTGAAGTGTACAAAGTGCTTTAGCAGAAATATCTTGTGTTAGCATCTTGTATGTCTTATACAGGGACTGCCAACAGTCTTCATTTTCTTTTTATTACAGGAAAGTACTACAGCGAATACACCAGTACCATGAAAATAAACATGTGATCACATTACGTTTCTTAAATCCAGTTACCTGCCATACAGTCAATCCTATAACACAACTATTTAACCAGACATTGCTGTTAAATAATGCACACATTTGGAAATTTGCCTTAAAATATTCCAGCCTGTGTTGAGAAATGCGTCTTTCTAACCTACTTGCTGCATCTTGTTTTGTCCTCCTGCCGCGTGACAGAGGAGGTGGCCAAGCTGCAGAAGCATCTGGCCCTGCTCCGGCAGGAGTATGTGAAGATGCAGCAGAAGCTCGCCGACACCGAGAAGCGCTGTGCCGTGCTGGCTGCACAGGCCTCTAGCCAGGGCTCCTCCAGCCCTGCCGCTGCCACGGCTGCTGACACCTTCATCAGCCGCCTGCTGGTCATCGTGGCCGACCTCTATCGGCAGGAACAGTACAGGTAAGGCCCGTGGTGGGAATGGAGGGCTGTGGGTTTGTTTTTTTGCAATATAAACCATCCGCGGCCGTCGATGGACTTGTCACACGTCGTGACTGTAGCTCAAGTTTCTGGGGCTGTTGAGTGTGTTGATTTAGTTTCAGCATTATAGAAGACATTATTTGTGACTTTGTATCTAAGAGGCAAATGATTGTTTTTGCAGTGATCTGAAAGTGAAAGTTGCAGGTGAGGACCTCTGTGCCCACAAGTTTGTGTTGGCTGCTCGCAGTGATGCCTGGAGTCTGGCTAACCTGGCCTCCACCTTTGAGCTGGACCTATCTGGTGAGCTACCCTGGTGGTCACTGTGTTAAATGAGTATCTTTAATCCGAATGGAACTCCAGTAGAGAAGAGAGACCTCGATTCATCGGTCAAAACCAGTCAGCTGATCACCTGTGTTTGGTGTCTGGGCCAATCAGTCTGATATATTTACAAATTGTATAATTTATAAGAACCTTAATTAGTGCTTCTCTAAAATGTAGTGGGTACCCTGTATGTCAATATATTTGCAGGTTAATAGATGATGGCTGAATGTTTGTTTTGGAGTCGGACATGCAAACTGCCAAAGTCCAGTATGGGACCGTTTTACTCTGAGTAGATCTTGGCTTCTTTGCCTATTTCCGAGTAAGATAATCAGTTCATGTTGAATTCATATGAATGTGAGCAGATGACTGCTTGAGAAACGTGAAAATGAACATATTAACAAAGTATTTTTGTAGTGGGCCTATTAAACAATGTTTTTTAGTTGTTGTTTTTTGTCCAGAATGATGATCAAGAGATTATGAAAATGTAATATTTCTGCTTCCAGCAGATTTTACAACAGATTGCACTGTTTCATTTCTGACGTGCTGACATGATGGATTTCCAGATTGCAAGTCTGAGGTTGCCATGGCAATGTTGCGCTGGGCTTACACGGATGAGTTGGAACTCGCAGAAGATGATGCCTTTCTTATTGACTTGATGAAACTGGCCAACCGCTTCCAGCTTCAGCTGCTCAGAGAGAGGTCAGCTCAAGATGTATTCTCTCACTTTTAATTTAGCATTTGGCTACATTACATCTCAACTGTTTCTCATAGCAGTATTTCTATTTTGCAACGTTTTCTCGCCCTATTTGTCAACGCCAATGGCCTTGGTTCTGCGCTGAGACAGGTGTGAAAAGGGCGTGATGTCCTCTGTGAACGTCAGGAATTGCATCCGCTTCTACCAGACAGCTGAGGAGCTAAATGCTACCACCCTGATGAACTACTGTGGGGAGATCATAGCCAGTCACTGGGTGAGTGTTTGCACACAACTGACTCACTTGACTGGAGCGCAGATACATGCATTGGCATACATGTGCTGGATAGATGTTCTTCTTCTCAGTCATGTCACGTTACAGAAGCATATCAATTTGCTATCTGCTGTAAACTCTGTGTGTGTGTGTGTGTGTGTGTGTGTGTGTGTGTGTGTGTGTGTGTGTGTGTGTGTGTGTGTGTGTGTGTGTGTGTGTGTGTGTGTGTGTGTACTGTGAATCACTTCTTCTGGGTTAATGTCTTCACACGTTGACTCCTTTTTGGCTGATCATTGTTATGATGCCTCACATGGGTGGGCCATCTGGCCTTTACTATACAATAAATCCAGAGGCCACAGCTCGGCAGTTGTCAAGGTTATCTATACAACTTTGGCTTAGAAAATGGCCGTTTGCTGTCACCAGTCTATTGCCTCAGTCTCGAAATTCACACCAAGCAAGGAGACACTTTTCGGGCTTAGATTTTAAGAATACATTTTACAATCGGTAAAAGCCAATTCTGATGTTTGACACTTTCTTGCGTTTCATTGCACGTGTTCTATCAGGACGACCTTAGGAAAGAGGATTTTAGCACCATGAGCGCCCAACTGCTGTTCAAGATGATCAAGTCTAAAACAGAGTATCCTCTCCACAAAGCCATCATGGTGGAGAGAGAAGACGTGGTCTTTCTCTATCTCATCGAGATGGACTCGCAGGTGAGCCACCTCACGGCCTTCACGTTTTTTGCGATTTGTTTCAATGTAACCAACAGGTCTGAATACAGGTTTCCCATCACACCATGAACAGGTTTTAGGATTTGTTTTTGGTGTTGTTTTCAGCTACCTGGCAAGCTGAACGAACTGGACAACAACGGCGACCTGGCACTCGACCTGGCGCTCGCTCGTAAATTGGAAAGTATTGCCACAACTCTGGTTAACAACAAAGCAGATGTGGACATGGTGGACCAGAGTGGCTGGAGCCTCCTGCACAAGGCCATCCAAAGAGGTATGTGCTTGTTATTACGATTACAACACTATTTGGCATCCCACTGCCCTGTCTTGCCGAAGTGGTGTCCAAGATAATATTTTGGTTTTGGTGCCAAGGTGTTCACTTGAAAATGAATCAACTGTTATTCAAAAAAACGTGAATCATTTCAAGGCTTTTTCTTGTACAGACTTTGTCACAGTTATATTTTGAAGTTGATACATGAAAACAGACCTACCTCCTTTGTGACCGTTCATCCTTTCCCCCCCCCTCTTCCAGGGGATGAATTTGCGTCTATATTTCTGATTCGCCACTCGGCTCAGGTGAATGCCGCCACCGTGGGCGCGGTGGAAACCCCACTTCACCTGGTCTGTTCGTTCAGCCCCAAGAAGCACACGGTGGAGGTGATGACTGGCATGGCGCGAATCGCGGAGGCCCTGCTCAAGACGGGAGCCAACCCAAACATGCAGAACAGCAAGGGCAGGTAGGTCGGAGACGCAAAGGTGGCCGACTACAATGCAGAGTGGGGTGGTGCTTCAGCTCTGTTTTCTGTCCATTCCAGAACTCCGCTGCACGAAGCCGTGTCCTCAGGAAATGAGCCAGTGTTCAACCAGCTACTGCAGTGCAAACAGTGAGTTACATCCTTTCTCCAATTGTAATTGCTGTGTTTTTATCTGCCATGGGGAGTAGACAGGCAGCATGGTCTGCTTTTGATCACTCTAGCTCACCCTAGCTAGCTGACTATTCCTTTTTGCCTCTAAGAAAACGCCTTGTCTTGTCTTTCCATGCCAGGCTAACGAATACGAAGATGAACGAATAATGAATGTAAAATTAAATTAAACAATACACCAGTAATCACAACAAAGCAGATTCTAATCGGGCCAAATCTCATGAATACAGCCACGTGGGAGGGCAGTAACATTAAAGATCATATGACTCTGGTCATCATTTACCTCCTAAGGGTCGCCCTGGGTGTAACCGGGTGTAATCTGTAAACTCTCTTTAAGGCTTGACCTGGAACTCAAGGACCACGAGGGAAGCACCGCTCTGTGGCTGGCCCTGCAGTACATCACCGTGGCCTCCGACCCCTCAGTGAACCCGTTTGAAGATGATGCCTCGGTAGTTAATGGCACCTCGTTTGACGAGAATAGCTTTGCGGCCCAGCTTATCCAGAGAGGAAGCAATCCTGATGCCCCTGACACTACCACAGGTGCTCTTCTGTAACTTCCCTTCACAGAATTTTTTTGGAAGCTTTTAATGTATTTTTAAAAAGATTAAAAAAAATTAAATTCCATTTCTCTTTGTTTTGTGCCCCGAAGAAAACTGCCTCATGCAGAGAGCGGCTCGGGCAGGCAATGAGGCGGCTGCGCTTTTCCTTGCCACTCATGGAGCAAAGGTCAACCATGTCAACAAATTGGTACGTACATTAGGTCACATTACAGACAAACCATTCCGTAGGTTTGGGGAATCTGACCCAATGTGCTTGTAGTTCAACATGCATCATATATAATTCATCTTAAATCGATACGGTTTGCCTTTTATTAGGGTGAGAGCCCGCTCCATACGGCTTGCCGCAGTGGCCTAGCGAACCTGACGGCGGAGCTGCTCCAGCAAGGGGCCAACCCCAACCTGCAGACCCAGAAGCCTCTGCCTGACGACACCGTTGGTGTGGCTACGCAGACCCCGCTCCACATGGCCATTGCTCACAACCACCCAGATGTGGTCTCTGTCATCCTTGAACAAAAAGGTTGGCATGTGCACATTTTAATGTGCGGAGATTTACCTCACAGCGCAACCTGTTTGTTGTCCCGAATGTTCCTCAACGTCTGAAAATGCCCCACTTATGTTTCCCTCAATGGTTCTATTGCAGCTAATGCACTTCATGCCACCAACAACTTCCAGATCATTCCAGACTTTAGTCTGAAAGACTCCATGGACCAGACCGTGCTGGGCTTGGCCCTCTGGACAGGTACAAGCACTTCACCCCGACGGGGCGGATGTAATCCAGCACGCTTATCCTTTCAACGAGCCTGCATGGTGATTTATGTGTGTGGTTTATTTTATGTCTAATCCGTCCCTGTCAGGTATGCACAACATAGCGGCTCAGCTGCTGGGCTCAGGGGCTTCTATAAATGACACCATGTCCAATGGACGGACCCTGCTTCACATGGCTATCCAAAGACAGGACAGCAAGAGTGCCCTCTTCCTTCTGGAGCATCAGGCTGACATCAGTGTTCGGTAACGCCTTATATCCTTATTGTCAAGCATTTATGGATTTAAAAAAAAAAAAATCACCATGCCTTAGTCAGCCTGGGTTGCTTTTGAATTAAATTAAATCTGTCCGTTAGTAAGCGAGGATTACTAACACGCTGTTTTTAAAGCAATATCTCTCTATCCAATTACTTTCTCTATATTCATTCTTTCTCTTCTGTCTTTTATATACATTTGTTATCTCCACTACCAGGACCCAGGAGGGACAAACGGCGCTACAGTTGGCCATCAGTAACCAGCTGCCACTGGTGGTGGATGCCATTTGCACAAGAGGAGCAGATATGTCTGTGGTGGACGACAAAGGAGACCCTCCGTTGTGGCTCGCTCTTGAGAACGGCCTGGAAGATATTGCATCCACGCTGGTGAGACGAATGCATATGCAACCAATTTGAACATGTTGGAACCCTCCTTGTTGTTATTCTGACCATTATTTATCGTTTATACGAGATAAAAATTAAAACTGAAAAATAAATTAAATGAAACGTAAAAAAGCCCAAGGCATAGATGCTCCTTTTGGGCTTTTTGGTTTACTCTTTGGTTTGGATGTGCCTAGATTCACCATGTGTCCATGTGTGTAAATATTTTTTTTAATCGAACAATTAGGGAGTCTATGTAACAATGCAGCATCTTTCATATAAATATCAGCCTCCGAGACACCTGAAGTAAACAAGACCAGTGAACATAGACCTCTGACTGTAGTCCCACTGCTAACACTCGGGCTGCTCATGGTTATGAGATTTCTGGGAGGGAAATAACACTTTGCATGTTATTATGTAATGTTGCATTAGAAATGTTTTGGTCTTGTTTGTTTTCACCTAGGTCCGCCATGGCTGTGATGCAACGGCGTGGAGCACGGGTCCCTCTGGCTGCCTGCAGACGCTTTTGCACCGAGCTGTTGATGAGAACAACGAGGTCACTGCATGCTTCCTCATCCGCAGGTCTGCCATTTTCTGTACCATTTGTAATTTGGGACTCCTAATTGTGAATGCACATAATTGCCTAAACGGTGAACCTATTGACATGCATCATAATTCCCAGAAAACATCAGTTGTTAAACTTGCTGTTTTTGAGATAGATGTAGCTAGCTGTGTGAATCGTGGTGTTTGTTTGTTTGTATATAGTGGTTGTGACGTGAACAGCACCAGAAAGCCAGGCCCGAATGGGGAAGGAGATGAAGAGGCCCGAGATGGACAAACGCCCCTCCACCTTGCAAGCAGCTGGGGACTAGAGGACGTGGTGCAGTGCCTTCTAGAGTTTGGAGCGAATGTTAATGCACAGGTCAGTCCTGTCAAACTTCACTTGTTAGTAAATTGCAAGTCTATAAAAATACTGTGCTGCTCTTAGAAGTGTTTAATGCGGTGTCTGTCCTTTTTTGTCAGGAGGCAGAGGGCAGGGCTCCCATCCACGTTGGCATTAGCAACCAGCACAACAACATTATTCAGCTCCTCATCTCCCATCCAGACATTCGTCTCAACCTACGCGACCGTCAAGGAATGACCCCCTTCGCCTGTGCAATGACGCATAAGAACAATAAGGCAGCGGAGGCCATCCTCAAGAGGGAGCCTGGTGCTGCTGAGCAGGTGGCGTTCACACAAATGCACCCGTTTGCCCCACTGGATTCCTATGAAGATTTTGCAACGTGTTAATCACAAACTATTGTTTGTCTAGGTGGACAACAAAGGACGTAATTTTCTCCATGTGGCTGTGCAAAATGCCGACATCGAAAGTGTCCTGTTCCTTATCAGTGTACAGGCTAATGTCAACTCCAGGGTTCAGGATGCAGCCAAACTCACTCCTCTCCACCTGGCTGTCCAGGCTGGCTCAGAGATCATTGTCCGCAACCTGGTAGGAGCCTTGGAATGTTTCCAGCCTCTACATTTACCGTTCTGGCCAACATGAGTATTATGAAAAGAGTGATGTCGATAGAATTTATTTATTTTTCTGCTTCCTCCCAGCTGCTTGCCGGGGCCAAAGTAAATGAGCTGACCAAGCACAGACAGACAGCACTACACTTGGCCGCCCAGCAGGACATTGCCACTATTTGTTCTGTGTTGCTGGAGAACGGAGTCGACTTTGCTGCTGAGGATGAGAATGGCAATAACGGTACATTACATTCTTTATCACTATGGCCCGTTCCTTTCAGCTGAATGAACTTCCAGCAGGTGTTCCTCTAGTCTCTGTTGTGTGGCTGACTATTCCTTATTGTCCATCTTTTTGTCACTTCAGCTTTGCATCTGGCTGTGATGCAGGGTCGCCTTAACAATGTCAGAAACCTTCTCACAGAGTCCAACATCGATGCAGAGGCCTTTAATCTCAGGTACACTCAGTTCCTTTCAGGGTCAGATGGTTCCTTGCGATCAATGACATTCAATTTAGGTCATTACAGCAGTAAGATAAAGGCTGCACCCAAACTAAATCAGCCGTTCAAGCAATTAGTACAAGGTTGTGCTTTGTGTTTGAAGTGTCCTTTTTAAAGGTCAATTTTATTTCCGAGTTACTCTCCATGTTAGATGAATTAAAAAAATTGTAGCATATACTTTCATTAGCTCACCAGAAGATAGGTGCAAATTAAATAATGGATTTTAATCTGGTGCATCATGTGCGAAGCATTATGGTGTGCTGCTCTTCTTCCCATTGTAATTCGATCACAGATCACATGATGTTCTGTTGAGTCTTTTTCACCACATTTTAACTCTTCACTACACAGATTCAAATGATTAAGAGTCCTGGTGTTTGCCCTTGCAACACCTGAATCGTGAATCTACAATATATAACAATGTAGAGCGTTTAAGCGTTCTAAACGTAACAGATTAATCTTCTGCAGCCTATAAAGCCAACCAGTCTCTTTTTTTTTTTTGCCCCATGTCTTTTTAGGGGTCAATCGCCAATGCACGTACTTGGTCATTATGGGAAAGAGAACGCCGCTGCCATTTTTGAGCTGTTCTTGGAGTGTATGCCTGAATACCCTCTGGACAAATGCGATAATGAAGGGAACACAGGTACCGCGGTTGCTTCCAACAAAACATTTTTTAACAACTTGTGGTAGAGTGACTTACTGAGACTTACATTTTTGTTTCAGTTCTTCTCCTGGCCTACATGAAAGGAAATGCAAACCTGTGCCGTGCCATCGTGAGGGCCGGGGCTCGACTAGGCATCAATAACAACCAGGGCATCAACATTTTCAACTACCAGGTTGCAACCAAACAGTTGCTCTTCCGCCTTCTAGGTGAGAGTTCACATTCCTCCACCTATCAGGCTTTCACCATATATTGAATGTTACAACGTATTTGACCGTCATTTGTGTAGATATGCTGTCCAAAGAGCCTCCTTGGTGTGATGGGTCCAACTGCTATGAATGTCTTGCCAAGTTTGGTGTTACAACACGGAAACATCACTGGTTAGTACCGTGGTTTAATAGATGCCAGTAAATAATACTAGAAATAGTTCAAGTCTATTTTCAATCTGTGTTCAAATGTATAATCGATCCTGTGTGTCTTCCTTTACTCCAGCCGTCACTGTGGGCGCCTGTTGTGCCACAAATGCTCTATAAAAGAGATACCCATCATCAAGTTTGACTTGAACAAGCCGGTGAGGGTGTGTGACATCTGCTTTGATGTACTAACTCTGGGTGGGGTGTCGTAATGCAGTGCCCTGGATACCCTCCACCCTCCGACACTGGCCATGCCGGGCTCTACTTGGCACAGTTTTTCCGGCCCACCCGGCCAAGGGACATCAGTAGCAGGACGTACGGACCATATACAGTCTCCCGGACAGTTATGGACTATTGCCTTTATACTATTCCAGTTCATGAAAAACTTTAAATGCTCTTAAAAGGTTCTTTTCATAGTGAAAGTGAAGCATTGTCTCATTTCTGTTTTGATCAAAGTATATAAAAGTCAAGCGGTTATAAGCAGCTGATGATCGATGGAGTCACATGAAATCAGTGTCCCAAGCCCAATGATATTTGTAATGATCAGCTCTTATCATGTCAACCATGGTGAACGTTTAAATTGAGCAACCGTTTGACGGGATATATATATATATATATATATATATAATCTTTTTGTTCTCCTTTGGGATATTTTACCATCTGCAGCCTTTTATGCTATGTGACCTGCCCTAAGACAAAGATCCAATACTCTAAAAAAAAAATCTACATTAACACGAGAGTTAAACATGCTGTTAACCAAGAGCAGAATAAAATGAAAAATACCCCCAGAGCAGTAAATCTCAAAGACATGAACTATCAACATGTTCTCTGTAATCTTCCATGTTTCACTAATCAAGGGTTGACAATAAGGGAAACGCTTTACAGCTCATTATTTAAATTTTCAAATGAGATTGATATTGTCTTAAGTGCACTGACAGATGGCACAATATGACAAGGAAGACATTGTTCTTTTTTCTTTTTTTTTCACAACTGGTAGATAGCAAGTCATCAGCCAAAATCAATGAAATGGTTCATATTTAGCATGGCAAGTGATTGAAGGTAGCAAGTTTCATCACAAGAGGACTTCAAATGTGGTCCAGAGCACTAAATCCTTAACAATCCTGAGTTACTAAAATGCCTCCTATGTCAACTTGTGTCATTTATTTTGTAGTCTTTGAAATATTCATAAACCTTTCCAAAATCAGTCACCAAATGATTACATTCCATATTTTTATCTGCCACGAGGTCCTCGTAGGATGTCGGAATTGTTGGCCCACAACGTTGCCTCAAGTCAAGTTGTCTTGACCATCACATTTAACATTTCTTGATTTCTAAGCCTAACGGGTGCACTTTATCAAGATCACATGACATTTCTGATCATTGGTGGGGAGGGGGGGTTGCCAAGTAGTGGGGCTTCTTTAAGTATTGTTGAATTGTACAGATAAATGTGTGATATTTTTGACCACTACAACTGTTTTGTACTTAAATGCAGTTTGTGCTTGTCATTGTGACAAACCTAAATCTCGCCTCTGTTGATCTTTTATGCACATTGTTTAATCTTTTATGCACATTATATTGTATCTGTATGCTCAGATATTTAGCCTGTCTCTTCCTGGTATATCCTTTTAGAGAAAGGGAGAACAACTTTACATACATAAAGGTCATCAAAATCAATGCATGGACTCTTCTTCCCTTTATTGTGATAAGTTTAAAAAGTTTATCATGCTGCTGCTGTTAAAGAAGGCTGCGAATAGGACAATCTTCTGGGTTTGCCCTAAAACTAGAGCCTTTACTCATTACCTAGAACAATAGGAACAGACTTGCGTTCATTTCTGCAATTGGAACAGCAGCTGACCTGATGACTTTGTCCAATTTTGGTGAGGCTGTGCAAAGAGTGTTGATTTCAGCTGCAAAATTCAGATGGTAGGGTCAGAATTTGGCGTAAACAAGAAACCATGAACCATTCTGCCTCGTATCAACGGTTCAGGCTGCTGCTGGTATGAGGTTGTAGGGGATATTTTCTTGCCACACTTTGGGCCCCTTAGTACCAATTGAGCATGTTTTAAATGCCACAGCCTTCCAGAGTACTGTCACTGACCCTTTGTGACCACAGTGTACCATCTTCTGATGGCTACTTCCAGCAGGATGATGCACCATGTCACAAAGCTCATATCATCTCAAACTGGTTTCTTGAACATGACCATGAGTTCACTGTACTGCACAATCTCATAGAGCGCCTCTGGGATGTGCTGGAACGGCAGATTCTCATCATAGATGTGCAGCTGACAAATCTGCAGCAACTGCGTAATGGTGTCATGTCAACACGGACCAAAATCTCTGAGGAATGTTTCCAACAACTTGTTGAAAGTAACCACGAAGAATTAAGGCAGTTCGGAAGACAAAAGGGGGTCCAACATGTGTGTGTGTGCATACTGCTATACGCATGGAGAACATAGACAAAGAGGATGGCAAACGTGTGTTCAGACTGCCATAATGAAATTTATTTAAAACATCAAGGATTGAAGATGGATGTTCAAATCAGAGTAAAATGTAATAAATAAATACCCTCACTTTTTTTTACATCTGGGTGACGTGACATGTGGCAGTAAAGTGCTGCTCCATTCATATTTACACAATTTAAAGCCTTCATAGACTCACACACTCAACCACTTACCAGGGGATGTCAGATAAGTCCCTGAGCGTTCAGGGGGGAGAGCTTGGGATCGGGTCTTAGGCTGCGACTGATTACGTTTCACAACGGGAAAACAAGTCCGCATATTGAGCAAAGGCCTAGAACTCCTCGATGGAGCATGACTCAGCATGTGGGGGGCAGCCGTCATATCTCTTCAGGTTTGGGTCTTCCTGGGCTGCAAGTGTGTCTTCAACGCAGACACAACGAACACCACTGGAGCCTGGAGAGAAGAGCCTCCGTGGGACACCTGTCCAGCCTCTCTCCACTCCACCGCTGGAGGATTCAAAATAAAAGTCATTACTGCCCCCTGGGTTGATAAATGATTAGACCATAAACTATTTCCAAACCTCTTAGTGGAGCACCAGATTCTTCCTCCTCTGGCTGCGCTCCACTCTGAGTTGCAGGTTGGGAAGCGCGCCCTCTCGTCCTCAGACTGGATCTTGATCCGCCGGCCCTCTACTAGTGACGCTTCAGCCAGCAACAGGGCCTCGGTGGGCTGACCGGCCTCACAATAGAACCTGCCTATTAACAGACCTGAAAAAGCAACAATCGGTCACTGATGTTGCGTTGGGATTTGCAGTAGATGGTGGAGATCTTTTTGATCAGAAGAAATAAAGTAATCCACTAAAATCAGCAGTTGCGCAAACGTTAAATATCAATCGTAAGCTATTGTAGTTGCAAAATACCACACGCACGCAGTCGCTCGCCAGGATTTGTCCATTTGCTGACACATCACATACCTACACGTGTGTAGTCCCTCTGGTAGAAGGCCAGCCAGTCATAAAGGGCCATCACCTGCAGGGGGGACAGACTGGACACATCATCTGTCAGACCACTTTCTGTGAAGTCCCCAGTGACGAAGGCCACAGATGCATCTTTGCCTGAAAACGGAGACACACACACACACACACACACACACACACACACACACACACACACACACACATATACTAGCCTATAGCGGTGCATCGGACAGTGTCCTGCACTTTAACATGAAAAGACATAAGTGGCTGTGAGCTCAGGCAGATACAATCAGCACAATCTAAGTAACGCAGGATAAGAGGTGATCACCTGTCATAAAGTGATAAGCACCTCCAGGTCCGTAGTGCTTGTGACCCTTGTGCACGTCAAAGACTTGCCCCAGTACGGCAAGGTACAGGCCCTTGCTACCTTCCTCCCCGTCGTACAACGCTAATTCACTCCTGCTCAGGAGCCGCAAAGGGCCCCACCTGTCTGAACCATTCCCAGATGTAAGTGACCACTCGCGTGGGATCAGCAACGCTGCAAGTGCTAAAAAGGCGACGGAAACATAGCCGAACGCGCTATTCATTAAAACGCTTCGGCGTGTCCTCCATTCACATAACAAAACACCCCTTCTGTTTGTAAAAACACATCCAACAGGCGCCGCGGCTTCCGTAAACAAGAACGTCACTGCGCCTGCGCGAACGGATAAACTGACGTTTCCAGGAGCGCTGACGTACGGCACGTCGATGCGGTAGTAGGTTACGGCAGCGCTCGAGCCGTTGGTTGAGGAGAGGCGGCCTGTGTGCGGACCGGTCCAACTGTTTGTAAAAGCGAAACCCAAAAGAGGGCCGCAGAGGTTCTCCGGGAGCCCTTGACCGGCGAAAAACTAACATGGGGAACGCGGAGAGCGGCTGCGGTGGGTGCAGCGGCGACGAGGAAGACGTCGAAACGGAGAGTCCCGGCTTCGCGGAAGACAGTCTGGCCTCTGCGGCCACCGCCGTCGGTGTAGGAGGCGGCGGTGGCTCCGGTTCAGGGAGCGGAAGGGGATCGAATAACCCGCCCGCGCCCACCGGTGGACCGCCGAGCTCCGGGGTGCTTTTAGAGCAAGTGAAACTAAGAGAAGCGGCGGCTCGCATCAGCGACTCCGGTGTCGCCATTCGGGAGTCCGTCCTGGCCGGGAACGAGGGTGTCCTGGTGCGGTGGCTGGAAGATCGGCTAAACCGAGGAGAAGAGTCCGTCAATGTGGAGCAGTTCTGTGAGATGTTGGAGAGCAGAGACGCCCCGAGGGATGAGTGTGAAGAGGTATCTGACCTTAGCCATACTGTTACTGCTATTTCCTCAGAAATGAGGAAACTATGATCAAAAGCTGTCATGATGAGTGACATGTTGTTATGATAACCCACCGAGGACTTGACCTCCTAATAATCTGTTCATCTTCAATGTGACCAGTCAGACAAATGGCCATTATTGGTCATGTTTATTGTCACTGTTGGCACGCTGCTTTGTTGTCTGTTGGCTGACATGTGTTCTTTTTGTGTGGGTTGACATGGAATGCCCCAGTACCTCTGTGAGCATTCAGAGCTGCTAACTGGCGTGATGTATTCATGCGCTCCAAACTTTATAACAAGCAATAGAGGCGGAGCACATTGTGATCCCTGTAGGCAACTTTAAGTTCTATCCATATAGTTTGTGTATAAAGTGTCATCATTTGTTCTGTTTGCCCCCGTTACAGGCATTTGGACAGTTTGATGCAGAGGGGGATGAGGTGGTGGATGTTGAAAGTATGCTGATTGCACTAAAGAACTCCAATGGAGCTAATCTAAAGGGCGAGCTGAGTCATGTGATCAGACAGCTGCAGGCGTGCTCTCTAACTCCAGGTATGAGATGGGATTTGTTCAACGCGATTGTTATTCTTACCTGGAACCTTTTATTTGAATAGGTGTTGTTCACCCCTCCCCTCTTCTCTCTCCCTCCCCCACAGGTTTTGTTGACATATTCTCCAAGACCAAAGACCGGTTAGGAGCACATGCCTCTAAAATCCTTAAATTCCTACACAGAAATCGTATTCCCAGCAGTGCCATCCCCTTCCCTCTTTTGGAGGGCTACAACAGTATCTGCACCATGAGGTCCAGTGTGGTGCAGGACTTCTTGGAGGTCATCTTACAGAAGGAGAAAGGTGAATGGCAGAACTTCAGATAAGCACAGTGGCTGGATGGGGCTGATTGAAGGCCTTTAACTGAATGTCCTCATGTGTATTTTAAGAATATGGTCATGCCGAACTGATTTGAGTCTGTCTCACAGAGAACCGTCCTTATCTGTATTGGTGTCGCTCAGATTTGGATATCCAGTACCGCGCAGAGCTGGACCGTGATCCGGAGGTGGATAAAGTCAAGGTGGTCACACAGTGCTACAGCACAATAGAAGCGTCGTCCAACGTTCCAGACCTCTACAAGATGACACAAGGGGAAACCGCATCTTTCTGGCAGTCGGACGGCAGTGCACGCTCGCACTGGATAAGGCAAGGAACGCCTGCTCTGTGACGGCTGATTGTCATGCCCGCTTGAGGCTTGAGATACGTTTTTGGAGCCTATGCATATGATTTTAATTTGGAAACTTTTATTTGATGTTATTTACTTTTTTCTGCCCCCAGGCTAAAAATGAAACCCGATGTGGTTTTGAGACGGCTGGCCATCGCGGTAGCTTCCAACGACCACAGCTACATGCCTCAGCTGGTCTCCGTTGCGGTTGGGAAGAAACGGTGTTCTCTGCAGGAGATCAGAGATATCCGGATCCCCAGTAATGTCACAGGCTATGTAGCCCTCTTGGAGAATGCCAACATCACCCACCCCTGTGAGTCACCACCTGTCAGTCTGTCTGCTTCGAAGACTGTTTATTTACCTCACACTTGTGTGTTGCTTCTCTAAACAACTTGTAGAGGAATTTTCTTTCCCATTTAAAACCCTCCTGTGACCACAGAGCTTCACTCCGTTTCCAGAAGAGCAGCAGCAGCAGCAGCCGCTGCTGGGTTTATAGATAGTTGAGCGGATAAATGCTTCAATTTGAATCCTTTTGCAAGCCTCTATACAACACTTTCTACCTTCACCATCTCAAAGATGTCTAACCAGACAGAAGGCTAAACAGGACAGCCTGTGAGCACAATAATAGCTAGCAGAGGTTCCGCTCATGGTGACAAATTCATCAATGTGTTTTGATCATGTGACTGTTTATTTGCTAATTCACAGTGAGCCAAATGAAATTCCTTGGCTAGCTTTGCACTGGATTTAGTGCCTCATATTTTTTTAATGTTTCATCTCCCTCATTCAACATGTGTTTTATGTCTCTCTCAGAGGGCGAAGCAACCCATCGGCACATTTTATTACGCATTGTATTCCATTAGGCTGCTAACGGCATTTTTCCGGCATCAAACCCCAGACATCCAGATCAACATTAAACGGTGCCTGAGCGACGGATGTGACACCCGGATTCATGGCTTGAAGACGCTGGGCTATCAAATTACCAAGAGTAAAGAGGTGTCTGTTTCGGATGCTTCAGCCATCTGGTACCTGTCTCTCCTCACTTCCTTGGTCACTGCATCCATGGAGACCAACCCTGTTCTGGCTCAGACTGTTCTTCAGAGTACACAGTAAGCCACACACAATTAAGTAATAAGAAATAATTCAAGTGTTTTGTCCAGTGATTAGGGTCTGAGGTCCTTGTTTGTGTGCTGTTTTTCTCCTAGAAAAGCCTTACGACACATGCCACCGTTGTCCCTAACACCCTCGTCCACAGAATTCCCCAAGTTCTTCTCTTTGAACATCCTAGAGGAGGTGGATGGATTTCTCCTCAGGATAGCAGAGTAAGGCACCTGTAGTGATTACATAAGCACAGTCACCAATCGATGCCACGCGCAGCTCGTAACGCTGACATCATCACGATGAAAACTGCCTCAAATCAAAGTATTGATTTACCAGGACGATAAAACTCTTTTTTTCCGTTCCCATTTATGTAGTGTTGGTTATTAACAATAGCAGCAGCAGCAGTGACATGACAAAAAAATCTCACCGGTTAATTATAAACCCTGTTTCTGTCCATCAAATTATTTGATGGACACAAATTGCTCCTCCAAGCTAACTTGTTGGTTTATTTCCTCCTCTGTAGCTGCTGTGTGAGTCCCGATGCAGAATTGACCCTCCTGGCCTTTGCTCTGGCCAGAGGCAGCGTGGCAAAAGTCCTCCAGGCCCTGTCCTGCATCAGCGATCATTTAAAGACGGAATACAAGGCCTCATCCCTCATCAGGTCTTTGGCCTCCGTTAGGCTGCGGCTGCTCAATCGCAATGGTAACGCCCTACTTTACTCTGATTCACACGAGGCCATTTGAAACTGTAGAACATAGAGAGAGAGAGAGAGAGAGAGAGAGAGGAAGTGCTTAGCCTATAAGGAGGAGACACATTAAATGACTACTTAGTGGAAAAGGATAATTCGGTTACCATAAGAAGTAGAAGAACGTATCCTTTAATAATCCCTGTCTGGAAATGATTCTCTGAATTCAACCCATCCCACACAGTGGGAGCAGTGTGCTGCCGTAAAGTGTCTTTCTCAGGGACGTTTCAAAACGCAGCATTACACAAAGTTGCACTTTAGTGTGGTGAACCTTACCTCCCAATGTAGGAAGGAAATGAAAACCTCTATGCACAATGATCAACTCAAATGTGTGTTAATACGTTGCGCTTGTTACAGGAAAGCCCCTCCAGTTGCACCTACAGGCCTGTGATGTGAAGAGTAAAGAGGAGAAGTCAGGACCGGAGAACATGCTTACAGAATCCTCCGCTGGTGATGGTACAACTGACCGCATCCTTATTCGATGATAAAATATCAGTAATATTAAGTTAATACAGTGTGAACAAGCCTTTAAACATTACGGGATGTCTTTGCCACTCCAAAGGTTTTCTCACAGAAAGTGGCAGGAGGAAAGCCAGTGTGATCCTGTCGACAGAGGACCAGAGTAACTTCCAGATCACGCAGATGAAGATCAAAGTGAGGCTCCGTTTGGTGCCACCATTTCTTAGAAAGATGTTTCTTCCTCTGCACTCCGTTTACTCTTCTCCCGTTTGTGTGATCAGGTGCGAAAAGGAGCCATTGGAGCCAAGTTCGGCCTGGTGTTCGCTTACAAGGAGGAAGATGCTTTTGACGCAGAGAAACATTTTAAGCGGTTCAAAAAATATGACGCGTGGGACTACAAGGACTACAAAGAGTTTGTGCAAGACAAGTAAGGATCCCTCCTTTTTTTTTAGCATATAGGAGTACTGGCGGAAAGTGCTGCCAAATGTGTTCCATGCAGGACAACATAATAAGAGTTAGTTTGTGCGAGTCATGGCCCCCGTTGGCAGTGTGGGGTTCTGCCTTGGTAGTTCATGTGAGTGGCTGACACCCCATTCTGTCACCTGACCTGCAGTGTGAAGATTCCAACGCAGTCAGAGGACGAGCCGATTGGCTGGTTTGAGCTTGAGGATGACTGGAACGATGTTGAGATCAAGCTGCAGCAGTGTCGCGTTGCAAAGGTACACACTGCATCGAGGGCGCATTTAGTCTTCCTCACATTTCAACCATATTACTGAATTCCACAACGCTCTTCATCACTTAGACCTTTTGTTATGGAGTGGTGTTTCTAAAATGCAATAAAAAGAG